CAGCCCCGTGCAGCAGTACACAGAGCACCTGGCAGCCGTGAAGGCCATCGCCTGGTCCCCGCACCAGCATGGGCTGCTGGCGTCGGGTGGCGGCACAGCCGACCGCTGCATCCGCTTCTGGAACACCCTCACGGGGCAGCCGCTGCAGTGCATCGACACGGGCTCACAAGTGTGCAACCTGGCCTGGTCCAAGCATGCCAACGAGCTGGTGAGCCGCCGCCTCGCTGGCTCGCCCGGGCTCCTGACGTAGTGGGGGAAGGGCTGCCTGTGGAGGTGCTGCAGCCCTCACACCTGCCCACCTGCCTACCCGCCTCCCCTCCTGCTAGGTGAGCACCCACGGCTACTCCCAGAACCAGATCCTCGTGTGGAAGTACCCGTCCCTCACGCAGGTGGCCAAGCTCACTGGGCACTCCTACCGTGTCCTCTACCTGGTGAGTGTCCGACCCACCTCTGCCAGCCCAGCGGCAGTGTGGGGCAGTCGCTGTGTCCCCACAGGTAGGCTCTTACCTTTCTGCAGAGTCCCCACCTGGTGACACTTGTTTCACACCAAAAGCCATGAGCTGGGTGTGGTGGCAGACATCTGTGATCCCAGCACTGGGGAGGCTGAGGCAGGAGGATTGCCGAGTTCGAGGCCAGCCTGAACTACATGGCAAGACCCCTGCCTCAAAACACCAAGAAAAAAAAATGGATGAGGAGGCCGGGGATGTAGCTCAGCGGCACTGTGCCCGCCTCACAAGTGCAAGGTCCTGAGTTCCATCTCCAGCACCAAAAAACAAACACAAAACCATTACACTTACATGTCCGTGTCCACACCTCCGCGCAGGCATGGCCGTGCCCCCGGTGGGGCGGCCCTCTTCGTCTTCCACCGCCCCCGTGCAGCCCCAGCCTCGGGCTCCCTTCCTGCTCTGCCCCTGCAGCCAGTGAGCTGGGGCCCCACTTGGGCTCCAGTCCTGTCCCCAGCACCTCCTGCAGAGGCCTGCATTCATCGAGGACCTTCTGTCCTCTCCACAGGCAATGTCCCCTGACGGGGAGGCCATCGTCACTGGTGCCGGAGATGAAACCCTGAGGTTCTGGAATGTCTTCAGCAAAACTCGCTCAACAAAGGTAAAGTGGGTCGGTATCACAGCGCCCCCAGCCCCACCCTGTTCCCCAGTTTGTCCCCTCCCATACGCTCAGGCTCAGATGCATCCCTAGTGCATCATCTCCCATCCTAGTCGCATCCAGGACCCCTTGGGGACTCGGGCCTGGTGCAGCCTCCCAGCCCCACCCCCGGCCCTGCCTGCCCTCGGCCCGCTTCACTGTAGCCCGCATCCTGGGCCCCGGCTCGCTCACCCCCGCCCCGTCCCCTGTCCACAGGAGTCTGTGTCAGTGCTCAACCTCTTCACCCGGATCCGGTAGACCCATGGGCGGCTGTGCCACCTCTTCCCTGGGCGGAGACCCCAGCCCCTCAGCCTGCATGGACCCAGGTGCCCCGCCGTGCCCCTCCCTCCCGGAGGCAGCGGGTGAGCGGGCGCTGGGCCGGAGACAGCAGGAGTCTCATTAAATGCCTGACTGTGAGCCATGTTCACCGGTGTTTGGGCGGACAAGGGACCCTCAGGACGACTCCAGCTCCGTCTCCCCTTCTGCGGCCCAAGGCCCACCGAGCCCAGACTGCAGCGCCAGGGCAGATGGACGCCCAGACCCTCATGTCCGCCCGTTCGCTGGGGACCGCATGCTCTTCCGGAAGCTCCCTCCACCCTGCCACCTGCGACAGACAGCAGCTTGAGCTGGGGACAGCGTGGGGACCAGCGTGTCCTGCCCAAGAACATCTCCAAATGAAGGGGATGGGGAACTGGTGTCCACTTGCCTGTGTCCTGTGTCCACCCCAGTGCGTCCCTCGAGGGCCCGGCTGTCCACTCATCCAGTCGGACCACGTGGGCAGCTGCTGACCTTGTGGCTCATCCTCCCCCAGCTCCCTGCCTGTCCCCACCCTCCACGCTGCCCACCTCAGGGAGCCGGGAGGGACCAAGAGGGTGCCCCGACCCCAACCCTGTGCTCCTGGTCCTGTCCCCAGCAGTGGGTGGCACTCAAAGGGAGGGTCGTGGCGGGGCCTGGCACAGCGGGACCGAGGACGCGGCCCCTCGTGGGTGCATGTGTATATACGTATTTGTGACTCAGACTTGTGTCTCTTTTGTTGACCTGTCCCAGAAATGTCGGCACCCAGGCCACGCACCACATGGTGCCCCTGCCCCCACCATCCCCCAGAGACAGTGGGGGGTGACAGGCTGCCCTGGGGACAGTGGGTCCCCTCTCCATGTCCTTGCCACCTGCCACTGCGTGGACATTGAAGTGTGTGTTCCATTGGTTACCACCTTGGTTTTGAGTTTGTTTCTTTGTTTAAATAAGGAGAGGAGCCCTGTGTGCCACCCTGACCCCATGCCGATGCCAGAGAGCCCAGAGCTGCCCCCGCTGTCACCCTGTGGCCTGAGGCCGGAGCCCATCCAGCAGGGTGGCGTGGAAGGGAGGGCAGGGCAGGAGTTGGCCCGTCCTTTATTGTGGGACTCAGCAGCACTCACCCAACACACTGGGACTGGGCACAGGAGGGCAGCCGCCTCTTGGCATCTGGTCCCACCCGAGCCATGGCAGCCCCTTCCCAGGCAGCCCAGGCTGAGGGGTAGACCCTGTCACAGGGCGCCTAGGCATCTGTCCTCACCCAGTGCTCACAGTCAGTCTGCTGCTCCTGTTGTGGGGCTGGAAAGGGATGGATGGGCTGGCTAGAGGGGTGTGTGTGGATCCCTGTGGGGACAGGCAGCCCTACCCACTGCTGGAGCGTAGGACATGAGGGACAGAGGGACCCCGGGGAGAAGGCTGGAGGCTGGGGCACCTCGCTGCCCTAGGGGTGGCAGGGCCGGCAAGGCTAGGTGGCCAGGGCAGGATTGTGAAAGTAGCTGTTGTGGTTCGGGAGAACAGAAAGAGAAGGGCAGAGGATGCAGGTCCATGGACAGGGCTCATCAGCATCCAGGAGGGACAGGCGGAGCCTAGGGGCAGACACAGGGCCCCAGGGAGGGGCGGTGCAGGAGCCCGGAGGGTCTGAGAGGGCCCTGGGAGCAGGACCACTGGGGCCACAGGGTCTGTGAGAGGGCCCTGGCAGCCCAGGGCATGTGGAGCTCGAGGAGGAAGGGGAGGGAGGACAAAGAGGACGAGGACGGCTCAATCCAAGACACACACAAGGATGCAGCAGGCAGCTGTGCAAAGGCCCTGGGGCAGGACTGCCCAGCAGTGTGGCTGGAGCAGAGGCAGCAGGGGTGGGTGGAGGGGACAGGAGGCAAGGGGGCCTGGGTGTGCTGAGGTGGGTGAGGGCAGTGGCGGCTGTGTGCAGACTGGACAGGGCTGGCGAGGCAGAGACCGGGCAGGAGTCCTAGTGGCAGGGATGTGACCCAGGCCTGGATCTGGTGGGAGGTGGCAAAGGGCAGGTTGATTCTCGATGTTCATTGGGTTTGGTTTTGTTTACATTTTTTATTGTGGAGAAATAAACACGACACAGTGCCATGAAGTGAACCAGCCAGCAGCCCTCACTGTCACAGCCATCTCCGGGAATTGCAGGAGGTCCCAACACCACATCCTGTCCTGAGCGTTTCCTGTCCGTGGGGCCCACGCCGTGTGCCCTTCGCATCTGGCATCTCTCTGAGCAGTGTCTCCATGGTCCCTCCATACAGTGACGAGTGTCACAGCCTCTCTTCCTGGCTGAGTAATGTTCCAACAAGGGGGCCCAGCTGTGTGTCCCACCTCCCCGGTGTCGAGCGCTCACAGACCGACCTTGCCCCCTCTGGACACATTTTGGAAACAGAGATGAAGGATGGGACAGGATGAGGAGGAGCAGTGTGCGGGTCACAGGTTCCCAGGCCCCGGGAGGATGAAGCCAGGGACGCTCAGGAGCCCCATGTAGGGCTGGGGACAGCCCAGGAACCTTGAGGGCTGAGCCCAGGCGACGGGCATAGAGCTCACATTGGAGCAGGCTTGGTGCCTCTGACCCTGCCACCCACACAGGTCACAGACAGCTGTGAGACGCCGGAGTGGCTCACTGCCACCCCTGCCACCACCGGAGCCCACTGCTGTTGCCAGGACACCAGGGTGGTGGCCTGTGTCAATGTCAACAATGGCCCCAGAGGCCTTGGGCAGAGCTTCTGGGCACACAGAGGCAGCCATGCAGACCCTGCAGCAGGAGGCTGCCGGCACCTATGTCCCCTCTGGCACCTTGGAAGTGGACTTCCCCAGCCCGCTGTACAGGTGACCCCCGTCCCTCACCTGCAGGGACCCTGGCCCACCCCGAGTCAGGTGTGACAGGGATGCGTCTGGCATGTCCTGCTTCCTCCCCACTGCCCAGGCTCCCCCAGATCCTGTGCCCCTGCAGCGCAGCTCAGTGGCCCCCGGGCTGTTGGTGGTGGATGTGGACACAGGGCTCAGCCCTTAGTGGTCAGGGACTTCGAGACACTCAGCAAATGAAACACCTGCTGGAGCCCGCCCTCGGCAACTTAGGAGACCCTGTCTCAAAACAGAAAATCCAAAGGGCTGGGGACGTAACTCACCATAACCCTGGGCTCCAGCACCAGCACCTCAACAAACAGCACCATGGGGGCTTCTCCATCTCCAAGGAAAGAAAGGGTAAGTTGAGGCAGGTGTGACTGTGACAGAGCCTCCAGCTCCGTGCAGCAGATGGTGCGCTCCCTGTCTGCTTCTAGAAGGGACAGGATCTGGAGAGCAGCAGCCGGTGCAGGGTCCAGACAAAGTCCCTCCATGCTCCATTACTCTGGACTGTTTGCTTTTGTTTTGTTTGTTGGGGTATTTTTGGTATCAGGAATCAAACTCAGGACCTTGCACTTGCGAGGCAGGTGGCAGAACCACCAAGCCAAATCCCTGGTCCGTTTTGGGGTGTTGTTTTTTTTGGTACCGGGATCGAACTCAGGACTTTTCCTTGTGAGGCAGGTGGCGGCACCACTGAGCTAAATCCCCAGCCCAAGGGGTTTTTGTTCACTTTGCCTTTCTGAGGTTGGAATCCAGGGTCTCCTGCATGTCTGCGCTCTACCGCTCGGCCACACCCCAACACTGTTTTAGTTTTCAGGGTTTCATTTTTTGGAGACCGGCTCACTAAATTATCCGGGCTGGCCTCATACTTTTGATCCTTCTGCCTCCGCCTCCTGAGTACCTGGGATTACGGGCCGAGCTGTTATCTGAATAACCCCACTGAAGTGTGGTTTTTCACATCAGGAGCATCTTTCCACTTCCCCCCTCAGTATGGCAGCTCTGGTCTTTCCTGTTCCCTTCCTCTTGGCATGCACTGCCTCAGGGCCTTTGCACATGCTGTGGGCACTGCTTCAGGGGAGGCCTCCGGGGCCCTCAGCCTAAGAGGCTTTCTGCCTCTGAGGCCACCTGGGTGGCACTCTTCAGGCAGTCACACCATTTCACATTTGATCTGAGACGATTTCGTCCTCCCTGGGCCACCTGTTCAGCCCCAGGCTGAGTCACATCCTCTTGCTACACCTCCTCGATCAGAGGGGTTTCTGGGAAGAAGGGAACTGCAGATCTGGCGGAAGAGACAGGGACTTCTGTTTTGTTTTGTTTTTGTGGTACTGAGGTTGACCCAGGGCCTTCACACTGTGCTCCATCCCCAGTCTTTTTTGGGACAGGGTATCCCTAAGTCACTAAGTTGCCCAGGCTGGGTGTGAACTTGTGATCCTCCTGCCTCAGCCTCTGGGATTGCTGGGATGATAGGCATGGGCCACCACATATGGCGAGACAAAGACTTTTAAATGTATCCAGAAGTGGCCACCACCTTCGTCTTCCCCTCCCCCTCTCTTCCTTGGGTAGGAGGAGCTTAAAGGCAAAAGGTTCCTGAGGGTCAGGGATGCTGGGCAGAGGGGCCCTGTGCAGAGGGAGCCCCAGAGGCATCCCAAGCCGGGGGCTCAGGGCCAAGTGGGACTTTGCAAAGGGACCAATGTGCCCATTCTTGAGATGCCCAAGCTGAGGCCAGGAGGCCCAGGGACAGCCACATTCAGCCCGTCCCTGGCCCCCAGCAATGACTACCTGTCCCTGGAGGGACCCCGCTGGGCGCCGGTCATCAAGCAGGCAACACGGTGGAAGTACACGCCCATGGGGCATGACGCAGCCGGCCAGCTATGGTACACGGGCCTGAGCACCCTGGATGGCCACTGCCGCGAGGCCCACGCCTGCTGGCAGGGATGCTACAGCCACCGCGAGCACCGCTTGCCCCTGGGTGAGTTCACGGCCCACCCTGCCACCAAGCCCCAGCCAGCCTGGCGAGGGGCGAAGCCACTAAGCCCCGTTCTCCCACCCCACAGCCTACACCCAGCACCTTTGGGACACAGCCTGGCATGACCCGACCATGCCCGCCCCGTACCTGAGTCCCGGCACTCAGTGGGGGAGTGTGCCGTGGAGGAACAGGCCCATCCGGGACAAGGAATTTGGTGAGGAAGGCAAACAGGACAGGCAGGGGTTGGGGGAGCAGGGAGCCCTTGCCCAGCAGGGGCCAGGACGCCGGGGATGCACGGTGACCGGGTCCTTCCCCGCAGTGGTCAACAGGAACCAGTTCGGGATGGAGCGGCCCTGGCAGGCGTCCGACTATGTGCCTGGCCTGTCCCAGCCACAGCGCCCACGCTACACCACCCAGAGCGCCCGGCACTGGGACCTGGAGCCCTACTGTCCCTCCACCGCCCGTGGGTCCTCACAGGCCACAGCTTCTTATAAAGCTCATGCTGTCCACGCCACCCGCCTCTGCCTGTGCTGTCCCTGCCAGCCGCCCAACGCCCCTCTTCCTCCAGCTTCTGCACCCCCACGCTGCGTAGGGCTGATCTGGAGAGAGCAGGGCCACGGGGTGGGCGGGCATCAAGGGAGTCCCCGGTGACCACAGCCAGGACAGCAGACGCTGGGCAGGCAGTGGCCCTCACTCCCCAGACCCCACCCAGTCCCAGGCACAGAGCAGCTGAGTAGGGTCCCCACCCTGTGGGCACCTCTTTATTTACTCCCAGTGGGGACCTCGGAGTCCCGGGCAGCCCCGCTGCCCATGTGGCCGGGCCCAGCCCCACAGCCTTGAGTCCAGCCAGGGCACAGGCAAGGCTGTCCCTGGGCCCTGCACCCCCACGGGACCTCGCTCCCTGCCCTGCCCCAGAGAGGGCCGCCCACCCCACCCGGAGGGCAGCCCCAGAGCTGGGGCCAGTGGGACCATCCCCAAGCCCAGCACTGGGCTCCAGGCACATGGTCCCTCCGTCTGTGCAGCTGCGGAGCCCACTGGGTCATGGCCGGCCTCCTGGAAAGGATGGGTGGGTGGTGTCAGGGAGGGCCGGTCCCAGCCCGCCCAGCCCGGTGGCCACTCTGGCCTTGTGCCTGGGGAGGGGCCCATGACTCACGGTTCTGGTTCCGAAGGCGGATGGGCCAGACCAGCAGGCTGCAGAGCGCCAGGGTGGCGGCCACACCCACGCCGCCCGTAACAGCCACCATGACCCAGTGGTAGAAGTCCATGCAGGCCTTGCAGCACAGCTCTGAGCTGGGGACAGAGGGGCGGCGTGGGTGACCTCCCCCCACACACACCCAACAGCTCAGCCTTCAAATTCCTGGTCCTTGGCTCCCACTTTGTCCCCAACAGCATCTTCCCCAAAGTCGCCACCAGAGGGCGCCATGAGCACTGAGTCAGGTCCTCTCTCCTCTCTTAGCCTACATGGCTCCCACCTCCCTGGGGCCAATGCCTAAGTCCTCCCTGTAGCCCACAGGGCCCTGCACGACCCGCCTGTCCCCTCCCCTCCTCCCCACCTACCCCTCACTCCCTCTGTTCCACCCACATGGGCTCCTTGCTGCTCCTGCACTGCACCATGCTCCATCCTGCCCCAGGGCTTCTGCACAGGCTCTGCCCTCTGCACCGGCCTAGACCTCCCCAACTCCCTCCCGGCCCCTGGGGAAGCCCTTCCCAGCTCGCTGCCAGTCCTCCCTCCCTAAGCTGTCCCTTCCCACCACCCACCACCAGTCTCCATTGAACACTCATGTTTCCAATTATTGACGTGGCTGGCACTGCCCTTAGCTCCATGAGGCCAGGGGACCAGGTTGGCTTTGCTGTTAGGTACCAGGACAGTCCTGGAGCCAACTCTAAAACCATGCACATCTGAAACCTTGAGTTTCCTGGCCCTGAGTTCTGTGGTCCTTCTGCTTCTTGCATTTGCATACCATGTCCTCAGGACCCAGCTCACAAGAGGCTCCATGTTTGTTGACTGAATTATGGAGTGTAACGATCTCCCTTGCCTGTGAATCCCTCTGTCCAAGACTGTATCCCCCACCTTCAACACTGCCTGGCAGAGAGCAGGTCAGAGCCCACCTGACGAGGGAAGGCAGGAAGGAAAGAAGGAAGGGAGGACAGACTCACGGGCAGGGGTGCAGGCTCTGCACAGCCATGACGGCCAGCCCGTTGGCCACCTTGTCCGAGAAGCTCATGGCACCGTACACGAAGGCTCCGCTTTGCTGGGGGACACAGGGCAGGGTCAGTGCCCAGGACTCGAGTCCCAGTCCCCGGCCTCCCTGGGTCCCATCGCAGCCTTACCGAGTGGGAACCGATGAGGTCGGCCGTCATGGCCAGTGAGGTGACCAGGATGGTGGCGCAGCCCGCACCTAGCAGCACAGCTGCCGCATACACTGCCATGCCCAGCCTGTCGGCCAGCGTCACCCAGGAGGCGAAGGCCAGGACCACCAGGAGCCCAGCGAAGTAAGTGAACTGCAAGGGAAGGCCTGGGGCCTCAGCACACACCGCTGGGCACCCCAGGCCAGGCGCTGGGCCTCTCTGGGCCTCAGCCTGCCACCTCCACCCCGACCTCAGCAAATGAGGGGCTTCAGCAGGAAAGCCCCCAAGGAGGCCCTGCTAAGACTCAGGTCCTAAAACTAAGTCCTGCTAAGACTTAGGGCTCTTTTATTTATTGACTTACTTATTTTTTGTCTTTTGTGTGTTGAGACAGGGTCTCCCTATGCAGTTCGGGCTGGCCTTGAACTCACTGTGTAGCTCAGGCTGGCCTCCAACTCACTGCAACCCTCCTGCCTCAGCCCCCTGAGTGCTGGGATGACAGGCATGTGCCACCACGCCCGATTAAATGTGTTGCTCTTTATGGCCACATCCCAGTCCAAGCTAGACAGAGGCCCTGTCTCAAAAATACCAAAAATAGGGCCGGGGATTTAGCTCAGTGGTTCTGCCACCTGCCCTGCAAGGGCAAGGTTCCAAGTTCCATGCTTGGTACCGAAAAACAAAAACAAACAAAAAAACCCCAAAACAAACAAACAAAACAAATGCAAGTCCATTAAAATGAGAGAAAACCAAGGATTCTGATCCTTGTTCCAAGTGCTTAGCTCAAAACAGCCCAGAAAGTTCTAAAGCTCTGCCCCCTCCCCCAGCTGAGAAACCAGGTGCTAAGAAGACAGGATATTGGATTCTTTTCTTTTTGTAGCACTGGGGATTAATCCCAGGACCTTTGCACTGAGTTCCATCCCCAGCCTTTTTTTTTTTTTTTTTTAATTATTACTGTGAGACAGGGTCTCACTAATTCACTAAGCTGCCCAGGCTTGAACTTGAGATCCTCCTGCCTCAGCCTCCCAGGTATAGATTACCACACCCAGTTAGAATCTAGGATTCTTGACTCCCAGATCCTGGCTTCTCCCAGGCAATGTGTCCAAGGCCTCCCCAGTTCCCCAGCCACTCACGTTCCTCCCGATGGACCTGTTGAGGGGCTTCATGAGGAAGGAGGAGAAGAAGCCACTGAGGTACATCACCAACGGGATGGTCGCAATGAACCTCTGTTGGGACATAGGTAGGGCAGGGGGCTTAGATGCAGCTCAGCAGCCCAGGGACCAGCCTACCTCCTTTCCACTGTCTCGTCCAGCTCACCTTGGGCAGGTGCAAGGAGTAGGTGAGGTACATGGCGATGTAGGTCTGGGACAGGTTCACAATGAGCCTTGTGGTCATGTATAAAATGCCTACCTGTGGACAGATCAAGAGAGGGACAGGTACGGGGCAGCTGGGCCATGGCTCTTGCAGCTGGGCTGATCCATTAGTAGCGACTGCCCAGCTGGCCAGGCAAGAAGGAGAGTAGTGATCAGTGATTGAGTAGTAATGTCTGTTCTGAGTGGCGATCAGTAATGGATTAACGTCTGCCCCAAAACGTGATTGGTGACCAATTAGTAATGTCTGCCCCAGCACAGGTGTGGAAAACGGAAGCTATCTGCTGCCCTCCTGCCATGCTGGAGAGTGAGTGTCCCCAGCAGCCTTGTGCATCCCCCACGACACACATACCTGATAGAAAGCTGGCTCCCGGAGCCAATGTTTCCAGAGCAGCAGGGGCCCAGTAGCTGAGGAGATCAGGGGACTATGCTCGTCTGGTTCCTCCACCCGCCTCGGCCGGTGCCGCTCACGGGTGCCCAGGTGAAAGAGCAAGGAGAAAACAGCTCCCACTCCTACCACTGCCAGGGACAGGTTCTGAGGACAGAGCAGGGGGTCAGCAGTGGCTGCCCTGCCCCAGGGGACCCTGGGTTGGCCAGCCTGGCCCCAGCTCACCCGGAACACGGGCACATCTTGGACACCCAGCTGGTCACCCACGGCGATGTCCTCGGTGGGCCCTGAGTGGGAGGAGGCCTGCAGGTGCAGAAGCAGCCAGGCGGCCCCATAGACTGCGATGTTGGCCACCACGGTGAAAGCATACCTGGGGGTTTGGGGGGGTCTTAGCACAGCAGGGACACTACGCAGCCACTTCCTGGCCACTTTCTTCCCAACAAAGAGCCACTTTTGGGGAACCCCTGACTGGGAGTGCCTTCAGCCACTGACACACTGAGTGGCCCCAGGGAAACTGCTGCCTAAGTCTCCCCTGCCTGCTCCCTAGGCCCCATACAGACCCCGAGACTGAAAAACCAGAGTGCAAGAACCTTCAGGCCAGGGCAGGGCAGGGCAGGGCAAGGGCTCCACGGCTCAGAACCATCCAGGAAGGGGTTGGAAAGGAAACTGACCTGAGACGACTAGTTTCCTGTTTTGTTTTGTTTCTGGCAGTCCTGCGGACTGAACCCAGGGCCTTAAAATTGAGTGCCACCCCCAGCCCTTTTTATTTTTATTTTGAGACAGGATCTCACTAAGTCAAAGTTGCCCAGGGCCAGGGATTTAGCTCAGTGGTTCCACCACCTGCCTCGCAAGCTAAGGACCCGAGTTCAATCCCCGGTACCAAAAAAAAAAAAAAAAGTTGCCCAGGGTGGGCTTGAATCTGGGATCCTCCTGCCTCAGCCTCTTAAAGAGTGCTGGGATGATAGGCATGCACCACCGTGGCTGGCCTGTTTCCCTTTCTGAAAGTTGGGAACCAGGCAATCCCAGAGTTCATATGAAGGTGGCATTCACTGAGCAAAGTGGACCCATGTAGAAGCCAGTGTTTGGCCTCAGCCCAGCCCAGCAGCATCAGCTTGAGGCTCTTGGGACGCTGGGCACTGAGCAGTGCTGTCCCCAGGGCCTGAACTTCTCAGGGCCACAATGGAGAACTCAAAGGCAGGGTTGTCAGGAGGCCAGGATGGGCAGAGCTGGGGATAGACAGGCTGATTCAGAGATGGGGGCCTTTCATGAAGATGCAATATAAACCCTGGCTTTGGGGCCTAGGGGTGCGCTTCAGTGGTGAGCACTTGCCTAGCATGTGCGAGGACTTGGGTTCCTCCCCCAGCTCTACAAAACTGAGAGAATAAAGCAGATTGTCCAGGGTGGGCCTGGCCTAATCAGGTGATTCTTCAAAAGAGAGCCTAGGGCCTCTTTAAGGGCATAGATGCCCCTTCTGGCTCCAAAGAAACAGCAAACTGCTGTGAGTTCCACAGAAGCCAGAAAACAAATTCTATCACCATGGACATGAGCACAGAATGGGGGCCCCAAGCCTTGCATCAGACCCCAGCCCCGGCTAGCACCTCAATCACAGACCTTCATGCAGGAGCCCCTGGCTCGAGTCCTGACCCACGGGAACAGTGGGATGAGACCCGAGTGTTGCTCCCAGCTGCTCTCTCGGAGTTCACATGCTCTGCGGTGACCGCTGGCTGAGACACCATTTCATGTGTTCCCCCCCAGCGTCACCCAGCCAGGCCTAGCCCGGCTCCCGGCCCCGCCACCCTCCCCAGGGTACCTGAGCGCCGTAAGCTCCACCTTCTCGTGGTCACTGGTGACCAGCTCCGGGATGAGACTGAGGTGAGCGATCTGGGTGGCAGCCCAGCCGAACTGGAAGACCACAATGAAGGGCCCGTAGTACAGCAGCGCGGCCCACTCGGGGGTGGACGCCCCACAGCCCAGGCACGGGCTGAAGATGAAGGGGAAGGACAGCAGGACGCAGACGGTACCTGTGGGCGGGGACAGGGCAGGTCACACCACAGGGCTCCCACCCTGGCCCTGGACACCCCGGGTGTGACGGGTGGGGCTGAAACTGAGGCACGGAGAGGGGCTGGGGACTCTGCAGCTCAGGGCTCCCCAGCTCCCTTGTGGCGAAGAGGGAGACCAGGGCAAGGAGAGCTGAGATCACACTGGAAAAGGACAAAGCCCTCCACACCACGGTCAAGCGGGCAGAGGCACAGGACAGGCTGGAAGAGCCGTAGATTGCAGCCGCCACTGCAGGGTCCCCTAGAGAGCCACGGAGGCCTTGTCCTCTCCAGCCCCAGCACCAAGGAGAGTCGCCAAGCAGCCAGGGCTCCCATGGGGTTCTGGGTGGACCCGCTGGCCCATGAGCTCAGAGGGGAGAGGAGGCTCCTGGGGACAGACTCCAGAGAACACTCCGCCAGATACCTCCATCCACACTCAGAAGGAAAACCTCGGAACGAAGGCAAAGGTAAACGAGGGCCCGTCCCTCCTCTGCCCCCAGCCTGCCACAGCTCCCACTTTCCTGGGCCCAAAGCCCAAGTCGTCCCTGCCACCTGCCTGCCCCTTCCCCAACTCCCCTCCTCTCTCCCCACCCCTCTGCTCCAGCCACACGGGCTCTTCCCTATTCCTGCACAGCTCTGGGCTTCATGCTGCCCCGGGGCCTTTGCAAGGCTGTGCATTCCCAGCATGCTCTCCTCTCACATATTAACGAGGCTGGCTCCTTTCCACCTCTGGCTTTTGGCTCCCACATCACCTCCTCAAGAAGCCTTTCCTGTCTACCCCCATCACCCACAGACCCTTCTGGCCCTGGACCCTGCTGTCTTCTTCAAAGCCCTTAGCACACCCCAAACTTCTTTGTCTAGTCTGCTTGTCTCCTGCTTCCCCACCAGAGAGCGGGCTCCCTGGGCGAGTGAAGGGCTCTCTGAGTCCTGTCTGGATCTGGGCACTTAGCAACCGAACCAGGGCCTCTGGCCACAGCCCAATGTGCTATTGGCCCATTTTCCAGATGAGGAAACTGAGGCACACTAAGAGACAGAATCCAGCCTGCTGGGTGACCCTGAGCGGGGATGCCCTGTCCAATGTCCAGTGCTCACCCCTCTCCCTGGCCTGGAGCTTAGGCCGGGAGCCCCAGCGGCAGCTGGACTTCCTCCCTCCCTCTGGAGGTGACCTCATCCCCACCCCGCCCTCTGCACCCCGAGATCAGGAAGTGAAACCAGACCACCCCTGCTCTTCGGGGCCACCAGATTCTCTAGAACTGGCCCTGGTGGCCATTCTGGGGGCAGAACATGAACTGTGAACTCTAGTCAAGAAAATGTGCCTCTCCGGCCACATTCTACCCTGCTGTGGTCCAGCCCTGTTAACTATTATCCAGGCCAGGCTGGCTGGCTGGGGACCTTGGGCAAGCGGCTTTGCCTCTCTGAGCATCAGTTTCTGTTTCCACTGCTTGGAAGGCACACCTGCTCCCCCAACTCCTACTCACCCTTCAAAACCCCATAAAACAAACCCCAAAGCTAATATGTGCTCTTCCTTCTATAGCCCACCCTCATGATCTGGCCCAGTCCACAGGGGCTCTGTGTGGCTCAGAGGAGCCTCCAGGATTGGCAGGGAATCCTGGGGGGGTCGCTAAGGAAAGGAGAGTCCATCTCCACCACCCAGACTTGGGGGTAAAATACAGAAGTGGGCATCAAGCCACGTCACCAACTCAGGCATCACAATGGGCCACGCTGGCTTCCTCTTACTGGTCTCCCTGTGTGCTCACCTGAGGCAGGAAGAGGAAGGGGGATATCAGGTCGAGGCCTTGCCCCAGCCCTGTTGTGTGCAAATGTAGCTCTTCTGCAGGGTCTCTTTGGGGCCTGTCACCTATGAGGGGCCTCGGGCCGCTTCCCTGCACCAGGCCAGACAGACAGATCCTACCTCAGGGTCTTAGCACATGCAGAACCCTCTACCAGACATATCTAGAGCAGCCTGGCCCAGATGACAGCCCCTGCCTGTCTACCCTGCCTGGCAACCAACGTCTCCTGTTTACCACCAAATTTTCCCAGTGACCAGGAGCAGAGTTGTATGTGGGGCTCTACAGCTGCACATGGGACCCTGATATTAGCCAAACTGAAGGGTCAGTGCTGCTGTCCACTTTTCAGCCCTTTCCCCATTCGCTCTCAAGTGACCCAGGAACCAGCCACACCCCCTCCCCACCCCGATCTTGGAAACCTGACAATCCAGACTGTGATCGGAGCAGGCCAGCCATGAGTGGCCAGGCGATTTGCTGTGTCTTGCAAAAAACATTGCTCCTGAAGGACGGCCTGTGTCCAAACACTGCCCCAGGACAAAGAAGAGCCAAGTGACCTCTCCCTGCTTCCAGACAAGTACAGCCTGGAATCCCAAGGAGTGAGCAGGGTTCCCCGCCCTGCTCCCGAAATACCTGGAGAGCCTGGGACGCCAGTATGTGCCAGTGGCTTCTGTAGGAGCAGTGGGCTAATCTCCAGGCCCTGAAGCCACCTTATCAGGGCTCCAGGGACAGAGTGACCCAGCCCATCCCCGTCACTCCCTGTCACCCTTCACCGAAGCCACAGGTCCCACTGAGAATGGATATAAGGGGAAACAGGGACCCCTCCAGGCCCACCCAGCTCAAATCCTACCTCCTGGCTGCACCCCCAAGACTCTAAAACACGGGGTGCCCCAGACACGCAGAAATGGGCAGGGCTGCCCTGGGGGACAGACAGACAGAGGTGGTTCTGGGCTGTCAGACTACACCCCGAGAGGGTCAGGGTGCCCCAGGACCAGACAGAAAGATGGAGAGGGCCCGTGAAGGTCACTCATAGCCTCAAGGTAGCCAGACAGGGAGGCTGGGCCATGGGCCACAAGTAGGGGACCCAGGGTGGTTATGAAGATAGATTCACAGGTTGGCCAGCTACGGGGCACTGGGCAGCTGGACAGATGGAGAGGTTGAGGCCAAGGGACAGCTTAGGGGAGACTCAGATTGTAGAGCAGGTAGGCAGGGAGGCAGACGGAGGAGGCTCAGGTCAAGGGACAAGACGACAGAGGGAGAACTCAGGTCACAGATGGGGAGATAGAGGGGCTGAGGTGGCACGACGGATGGAGGAGGCTCGGGTGCGGGAGGGCAGAGGGCCGCCGGCTTGGTGCATCCTCACCCGCCAGGTGCCAGGCCTTGCGTGGCCCGTAGCGCGCGCAGCGCCCCCCGGCGGCGCGGTCGGCCTCGTAGCCCACGAGCGGCGTGCACAGCCCGTCGGCGACCTGGCCCAGCAGCAGCAGCAGCCCGGCGCCGCGCGAGCTGTAGGCGCGCACCGAGTGCAGGTAGAGCAGCAGGTAGGTGAACCACATGGACGCGCACAGGTCGTTGAGGAAGTGGCCCACGGCGTAGCTCAGTCGCGCTGCCAGCGACAGCGGCCGAGGGGACGCCCCCGCCCCGGCCACCGGGGGCCCCGGGCCCATGGCGCGAGCGGTGGCGACGTCCGCCCGGCGCAGAGGGACCCGGTCGGGAGCCCCAGGACCCGCGCCGCGCTCTGCTCGTTCGGCGCGCCGCTGTCCTCCCGGTGAGGCTCGCGACCTCCTTTGCGGCCGCGGAGTCCGCAGGCCGGGTCTTTGCGGTCCGGGCGGGGCGGCCCGGCGGCGGAGAATCCCGGAGAGCGGCGGTTGCCTCCACCAATGGGAACCAGCACCAGGACGCGGCAGCCAATCATCAACAAGAAGGGCGAGGTCTCAGGAATACCCTGGGCTCCACGCTGGGGGCCCGCGCGGTCCTAGCACCCGGTAGTGCCCCTGGGGTTCGCGGTACCGGGGGCCGAGTTGGGTCCATCAACACTGCCCACAGATCTGGGGGGGTCAGACAGAGAAATGGGCACCCTGGCCGCCCAGCCAGACTCCCGTCTCCAAGCCCGGTCATCCCAGCTCGTCCGTAGCTTGAGGAAGTCTGATGCCAGCCGGGGAGGATGGGGTGGGGGTGGGGGGGCTGTTGGGTGTGGGCAGAGTCTGGGCCCGCCTCGGGGACCGCTGACTTCCTGCCAGGGAGACCCAATGGGACGCAGCGAGGACGCATTAACACTAATTAATTAGCTATTAGGGATAATAATGGGGCTCCGCGTTGTAAAACCAGCTGGGCTTTTAACAAGCCACGCGGTGCCAAGCTCCCCACGTGGCTGAGGTGACCTCACCCCCGGTTTCTGGGTGTTGAGTCAGGGTGGTAAGGTGTGCGGCTCCTCCGCCTCACCACCCTACAGGGAATGGGTCAGGCTGCAAGGCTGCCCAGGAGCGGGGTGGTGCCCGCCACCAGGCCTCCGCCTGTGGAATGTTGAAACTGTCAATCTAGTCCAGATCCAGCCTCACCCTCTCCTTGTCCCACCTGGGACAAGTCCCTTAACTGCTCTAGCGTCTCAGTCTTCCCAGCTCTAGAATGGGTATAATGTATGATTTTATTTTATTTATTTATTTCTTTTAAAGTAATAGAACTGGCCAAGTGTGATGGTGCAGGCCCGTAATCTCAACATTCTGGAAGGCTGAGGGAAGAGAGATCTCAAGTTTCTAGACCAGCCTGGGCAATTTAGAATTTAGTCAAACCCTGTCTCAAAGTTTAAAAAAAAAAAAATGGCAGGAGTGACATGCCTGTAATCTCAGCACTCAGGAGGCTGAGGCAGGAGGGTCACCAAGAATTCAAGGGCAGTCTGGGATACATAGTGAGTTCAAGCGTAGCCTGAACTACATAGTGAGACCCTGCCCAAAAAACCAAAAATATATAATAATAATGATAGTAATAAAATAAAAACTAAACAAGGGCAAGGCTGGGGATATAGCGCTGTGTGAAGGCCCTGTGTAAAGGGCCTGGGTTCAAACCCCAGTGCTGGAGGAAAAAAAAAAATATCTATTGGATGATTGAATGGTAGAAATATAGTCAGAAGCCGGACATGGTGGCACATGCCTGTAATTCCCAGCACTCTGGGAGGCTGAGGGGGAGGATCCAGAGTTTGAGCCCAACTCTGGCAATTTAGCAGCTTAGGAAGATCTTGTGTCAAAATAAAAAATTAAAAAGGGCTTGGGATGACGCTTGGGATGACGCTCAGTGCTAAGGCCCTGGGTTTCACCCTCAGTACCACACACAGAAGAAAACAATTAGAGGATCAGAAATGCAGTCAGAAGTTGGGTAACTGAACAGGCAGGGCCAGCTTCTCAACCCAAAGCCTAGGCAGACCAGGGGACCCGGAGTCCAGGACCCCGACACTTACACAGGCTGCATGTACTTCTATAAAATGGGGTTTAGGGACAAGGTTTTAGCTTGGTGGCACCGCACCTGCCTGGCAAGTACAAGGTCCTGAGTGATCCCCCATACAAAAAAAAAAGGAGCTTAAAACAGATGGAAGGGCCAGGCATGGTGGCAGAGGCCTGCAATTCCAGCACTCGAGGGGCTGAGGCAGTAGGATCACTACAAGTTTGAGGCCAGCCTAGGCTACATAGCAAGTTCAAGGCCAGCCTGAACTGCATAGTGAGACCCTGCCTCAAAAAAAAAAGAGTCTAGGGCCAGGGATTTAGCTCAGTGGTTCTGGCGCCTGCCTTGTAAGCGCAAGGTCCTGACTTTGATCCCCAGTACGGAAAAAAAAAAAAAAAAAGGAGTCTAAAGCAAAAAGTCAGATGGAAAGGGGATTTGACTCCGAAGAGAGGTAACATACCTGTTAATAAAGGTCTTAAATTAAAAAAAAAAAAAAGCGGTAACCTGGAGAGATAAGAGCTGACCTCGGAGGAGGAGATAAGGGGGTGAGGAGAGATAAGCACTTCAATTCTTTCCTGCCTGCCAGACAGCCTGTCCTCTGGACCTCGAGAAATAACTGCTCGCCCAAGTTTCTCATTTCATTGTTCCCCCTTCACTTCACAACAGGCCCAGGAGCTGGGACCCCGCTTGTTTCCTGGGGGCAGAGGCCCGACCCTGACTGAGAGGACCTGCAGAGGGCTCTTCTCTCCTGTATCAGTCAGCAGCCCCAGAACATTGCAGAAGCCTCTTGGGGTCACCAGCAGCAGAAGTGGGGGTTGGCTGGGCTCTTGGCCTGGTGCGGCAGATATTATCTCCTGGCCCTGACTCAGTGGGGAACCCAGGAACAAGCTCACCCTGGGCGGGGGGGTTAGGGGCAGAGCAGAACCTTCCATTGCCTTCTTTCAGCCTCTGGAGCTGGAGACGTCAGGCCAAGAAGCTAGGTAGGCTTAATCAGCATGGTGGCACATGGCTGTCATCCCAGCACTCTGGGAGGCTGATGCAGGAGGATGGCAAGTTTGAGCTGAGCCTGGGCAACTTCAAGAGACCCTGTCTTAAAGTGAAAAATAAAAAGGGCTGGGATGCAGCTCAGTGTGAAGGCCCTGGGTTCCATCCCCAGTACTGGGATGAGGAAAAAAGGCTAGGTTGAATAGGATTGAGATCTCAGCCTTAGTTCCTGACACCTCCGCCCACCTCTTCATTCTGGACCTGGGTCCTAGAGCGTCCAAGCGAGCCTTGGCCTTTGACACCCCAGCACCCCACTCTGAGGCTGGACGGAGGCCACCAGGCCACCTGATCTCAGCCCAGGGAGGGGAGACAGCCTTCGATAAAATGTCCTGGGGCTGGGGAGAACAGCTTCCCCTAATGCCTGGAGACTAGCAGAGGAGACTCATGCCCAAGAAAGAGAGGCAGGATAAGTTTGGGGTGAAGATCAGAAAAATCCCCCTGGAAGAGGGAGGGAGCCAGGAAGGCGAGATGTATGTCCAGCCCTCAGGGAAGCACAGGCAGTCCAGACAGATCCCAGCAACTTTTGATGTCCCCAGAGCGTCCCAGCCACACTGGACGCCAAGCGTGCGTCCCTCCTCCCTTGGCTGGGGATCAGATATCCTGGTAGCTGCTGTCCAGCCTTGGAGCATGGGGGCCTGCTTTGACACTGTTTGGTCCAGGCCCAGTGTTGGGGGTGGTGTTCTAAGACTCCTCAGAAACTTTCTCAGATCTGACAGTGGCTGTAGGGTGGCCCTGGACAAGATCAAACCAGCCAGTCATCTGGTGCAGGCCTGTGATCCCAGCACTTGGGAGGCTGAGGCAGGAGTATTCCCACAAGTTTGAGGCTAGTCTGGGCTACCTAGTGAGTTCAAGGCCAGCCTGGATTACACAGTGAGACCTTGTCTCAAAAAACCAAAAGTAAATAATATTAAAAAAAAAAAGAAAAGGCTGGGCAAAGTGGCACATGCCCATACCTCAGCACTCTGGGAGGCTGAGGCAGGAGGACCACAAGCTCAAGCCCAAAGAATGTGGTTGTAGATGTGTTGTAGCTGTTTCAGCAAAAAGAATCACGCCATGAAAATGTCCAGATTAAAAGTCATTTGTAGCCGGGGACCAAAAGGCAAACTCACATTCGTAACCTCCTTTTGGTACCTAGTAACCGGGAGCCCAGTTTTAAAGGAAAAAACCACACAATAGAATGTCATGATCTCATCTTTGAGTAAGCACAGGGGTACAGAATTAAACTGCAAGTTAGATTAAAATCCAATATTTGGGATCCAGCAGGAAATTCCTGTCTTTATGGTTAGGAACACAGGATAACATGTCCTGTCCTTTGTTATTTAACCACAAGACAAGATATGTCCTGTCCTTCATTCTTAACCACAAGGTAAGCTAGGTGCTGGTTAATTAATCACCCTAAAAATTCAACTTGGGGAGAAAAAGATTAAAGTTCAGGCACTAGCGTGTGGGGGTTTCTAATTAACTCACTGTGGGGTTTCTAACTCCCTTACTTCAGCTGCATGACTGAAGTAGGAACACACTTTTTAGAAGAAAAGTAATTCAGGGAACAGGGGAGAGGGCAGGCAAGTGCTTACAGTGGAGTCAGTGGGGTAATAAAGAGTAAAACATGTTCGAACATGTTTTATGGACCACACACGCATGAACAAATGTAGACACATATGTGCTTTTGTGTATGCATTTGTTATTTGTTACAGGTGGAACTACCCTGGCCCCCCAAAAAATAAAAATTTCACAGGCTCTGGTCCCAGCTCTCAGGGCCTCAGATGGTGACCTTATTTGGAAAAAGGGTCTCTGCAGATGGAATTAGCAAGGATGAGGTCACTGGAGTGGGGCTGATTTGCTGTGACCCTCGTGCTTATGAAAAGGTGAAATCTGGACACAGACACTGGGCGGATGTCATCTGAAGATGATGACAGAGGCAAAGGTGATGCTTCTAATGCCAGGAATCCCGAGGATAGTGGCCGACCCCAGAAGGACAGCCCTGCCCACACTTTGACCTCCCGCTTCCGGCCTCCAGAACTCAAGAAGAAAAGTCTGTTGTGTAGCTACCCGTCTGTGGGACTTTCTTCTGGCAGCCACCCAAAAAGCCAATACTCTGATGTGTACATGTGCGGGAAAAGTTCTGTTTTGTTTCCTTTTTGTGGTGCTGGGGAGGGAACCGGGTCATGCATACGCTAGACAAGCCCTTGCCACTGAGCCACATTCCTGCCCAGGAAAACTTATTTCTTTTTTTTTTTTTTTTTGGTTTGTTTTTTGGGGTTTGAGATTTTTTTGGGGGGTGGTACTGGGGATCAAACTCAGGACCTTGAACTGTCGAGGTAGGCGTGGCACCACTGAGCTAAGGTTTGGGTTTTTTGAGGCAGGGTCTTGCTATGTTGTTCAGGCTGGTCTTGAACTCACTATGTAGCCCAGGCTGGCCCCAAACTCGAGGCCATCCTCCTGCCTCAGCCTCCCAAGTTGTGGGATTATAGGCCTACACCACACGTCCGGCTGGGAGATTTTTTCCTGCCTTTATCAGAAACGAGTTGATATTAAGATGGAGGTATGGTGGTCTCAGCTGGACCCATTTAATTTTGTACAAATAAAATGGATTTGTGAATTATTTGCATAATAAAAGTTAATGGTTTTTTTTAAAAGACAAGGAATTGTAAGGCAAACCTCACTGATGGATGTATATATTGCTAGAACTGTAATTTATTTTTTCTTGCTAGAGTCTGAGCTCAAGGTCTTCAGACTGAGCTCCATCCCCAGCCCTTTTTATGTTTCGAGACAGGGTCTCGCTAAGTCACTAAGTTGCCCAGGCTGGGCTGGACTTCGGGAGCCTCCTGCGCCAGCCTCGCAGAGTGCTGGGATGGCAGGTGTGCACTGCCCACACTGGTTTACTCTTGATGGTTTCATGCTGTAAACACTTCCAAATGAATCATAAAAATTAATGGAAAGAAGCTAATGTAAACTACACTGGGCATGGTGGTGCACACCTGTAGTGCCAGCACTCTGGAAGCTGAGACAGGAGGATCACTGAGAGTTCAAGGTCAACCTGGGATAACAGTGAGTTCAAAGCCAGCCTGCACTACATAGTGAGACCCTCTCAAAAAAAAAAAAAAAAAAAGGCCAGGGATGTAGCTCAGCAGTGCCTCGCCTGCCTGGCAAGCGCAAGGTCCTGAGTTCGATTCCTGATACCAAAAAAAAATGATAGGTCTTTAGCTGAGTGAGGTAGCACACACTTTTACTCTCAGTCCTTGAGAGGCTGAGGCAGGAGGATTGCAGGGAACTTCAGGCCAGCCTAGGCAACATAGTGAGTTCAAGGCCAAGGTGGACTATATAGTGAGACCCTGTCTTTAAATAAATAAATAAATAAATAAATAAATAAATAAATAAGGTTGAAAATATAGCTCAAAGCAAAGGCCCTGAGTTCCATCCCCATTACTGAAAAAAAAAAAACCAACAAAAATCCAAGAGAACGTAAAGTCAAACAGCATATATGTGCTGAGCCCTGTGTTGTTCAAGGGTGTGAGCTGAGATTACAAGACTTGGGGAATGAAGCATTTTTCTTGATACTGTTACCCAGAAACTGGGTTCTGACACCCTGGCACTCCTAGGTCCTTTGTGTCTTCCGTAAAAAAATTCAGTCAAGACGGATAGTACCTGGGAGGCTGAGGCAGGTGGATTCCAAGTCCAACCCCATCCTGGGCAACTAATCAAAAAGGCAACTGTGCAGAAGTATAGCTGGTGTTTGTTGCACAACAGGTATAGAGAGCTTTATGCTTTCAATCAAAAAAATGGGCCCCCCCAGCCAGATATCTGCCCCGTGGGGGAATTTGGACATCTTTTTATGCCCACAAGAGTTACTCCTGGGACTTGAGGAACAATGTTTGTTTGTTTATTTATTTATTTATTTTGGTACCAGGGATCAAACTCAGGACCTTGCGCTTGCAAGGCAGGTGGCAGAACCACTGAGCTAAATCCCTGGCCCTTGAGGAACAATGTTAATTAGGATGCTTACCGACATTTTTCTTAGAGGTTACTTGGGAATTAGAAAGAACCTTGTTCTTTTTAAATGGTCATTGTTCCCGCAGGAGCCTTGATTCTATAAAAAACCATTAAAAAAAAAAAAGCCAGGCATGGTAGTGCACACTTATCAGCCCAGCACTCAGGAGGCTGAAGCAGGAGGATCCTGGTGAGTTAAGAGGCCAGCCCGGCCTGCAGTATGAGTTTAAGGGCAGCCTGGACTACATAGCGAGACCTTCTCTCAAAAGAAAAGAAAAAGAAAAAAAAAAGGAAATCCATGAATATCTACTCTAAATCTGGTCTCAGCCTAGGGCAGAAAAGAACATCTCCCTTTCTGATACCTCTGGGCCATCAGCTGAGCAACCATGTTCGCCTCTGCACTGTTCTGGAAATGGATGGCTCTGTGTCATAATGAATGTGCAAAGCATGTGATCTGAGGTCCTGTTTCTTCATTTGCTAGAACTGGCAGAGGGCACTGTTTTGAATCTCTTGTTGCTTCAGGTTCACTAATATCCCTGCCTAGCAAAGCCAAGAAACTCCAAACTGCTTTCCAAACCAAAGCCAAAGCCAAGAGTAGTGTTTCCAGCCTGTTGTCCTAGCAACTTTGGGAGGCTGAGGCAGGAGGATTGCAAGTTTGAGCCTAGTCCTGGCAACTTAGTGATTGAAACCCTGTCTCAAAATAAAAAACAAGGGCTGAAATGTGATGAAGTCACACACAGTCAATTCCCAACCACACACACAACCCCACCCCCGCTGCAAAAACAATCAGCAAACCCAGTATGGAGAGCAGAGACAGAGCTCAGTGATAAAGCATGAGCTTAGTAGGAAGAAGGCCCTGGAACTCTCAGCCATCCTCCTGCCTCACCCTCCCAAATGCTGGGATTACAGGCTTGTACCACCACATCCGGCCAAAACTCACTTTTTTTTTTTTTTTTTTTTTTGAGACAGGGTCTTGCTATGTAGTTCAGGCTGGTCTTGAACTTGGTATGTAGCCCAGGCTGGCCTGGAATTCTTGGTGATCCTCCTGCCTCAGCCTCTGAATCCTGGGATTAGGTGTGTTTGCCACCATGCCCTGTCTAAAACACTTCTTTTGATGTGGGGGACTCCCGCCCAGCATTCCGTGGTAATGCACAGAGAGGCAGTTTTTATGGCAATGCCAGACTGTCAGTCAAGTTAAACGAGGCGGGCCTGGGAGGCAGGGCTTTCCCAGTCTCCCTGTCTCCTGCTCAGACTACTTTCCCAGTTGAGCAGAGAGATAGACAGCAGGTGTGGGGAATCATAGAGCCAATTAAGCAACAGAGCACAGTCTGGAATCTGGGCTGTCAAGATTACAGAACGAGCTCCTCTTCTTCAGCGGTGTCTTGCATCTTCAAAAACAAGTTTAAACCAGATGTGGTGGTGCACACCTGTAATCCCAACACTCAGGAGGCTGAGACAGGAGGATTACCACGAGTTCAAGGCCAGCCCGGAACACACAGCAAGACCCTATCTAAAAAACTAAATAAAAAAAAGAGAGACAGAAAGACAGACAGAGAGAAAGAGAAAGAGAGAGAAAGAGAAATAGAAAGGAAGGAAGAATTTCCAGACTATTTTCCAGAGCACCTGCACTGGTTTCTTAGAAATTTACAAGATTCTTGCCTGCGTGTATTCAATGACTGACCCAAAAGAACACGTCCCAATCATCTTACAAGGCCAGCATAACCCTGATACCTAAAGCTGAAAAAATGCATCAAGAAAGAAAAATTAGGGGCTGGGGATTTAGCTCAGTGGTGCCGCCTGCCTCGAAAGCACAAGGCCCTGAGTTCGATTCCTGGTAACAAAAAAGAAAGAAAAATTAGGCCAGGCTTGGTGGTGCACACCTGCCATCCTAGCACTGGAGAGACTGAGGCAGGAGGATCTCAAGTTGGAGCCCAGTCTGGGCAACTTAGTGACTTAATGAGACCCTGTCTCAAACCTGCTGGGAGCGGCTGCATACAGCTCAGTGGGAAAACGCTGGGTTCAGTCCTGACATCCCAAATCCCGCCAGCCCCAGCCTGACCTAGGCCTGCATCTTGGTTTGGCGGCTTCCCTGGCTCTTGGACATCGTGCTAAGCAAATGTGCCCATTGCACAGGAGGGAAAGCCGAGGCTCTGTCTCCAGAAACCCCAAAGACAGACAGAGCAGGGTGGGATGCAAAGGATTCTATTAAATGAATAAATGGAAACTCCTCCCTAAAACCCTGCGTTGGCAGGATGCTAACAGGTTCACCTTGCTCTCCTATACCCTGCTGACTCTCGTCCTTAACTCCATCCCTAACAACCTAAGGCTCTTCCATGGCAACTAAGGTGGGGCCCGACCCGGAGCTGCAGGTCCTCAGGTCCTGCATGGGCGGGGAGTCTTGCTTTCAACTAGGGAGGAGGAGTCTACACGGAGCCTACTGGCCCCTTAAGAGGCTCCACCCGGCGAGGCCTCCAAGTGCCGGGGATTGGTCCCGAGAGCGGCCGAGCACAGCCGAACTTGACGCACCGCCAGCAGCCTTTCCTCCCTACCGCCCACGCGGCTCAGCAGCCGCCTCAGCCAATCACCTCTGGGCGCGCCGACCTTTATCTGCATGGCCACGCCCCAGAGGGAAGGCCTTACCCAATCGCATCGCTCGTGGAGGCGGTCATCAGCATTCTGGAGGCGGGGCGGGGCGGGGCAGCCGGCAGGGGCGGGCTCGGAGCGGTTGGTTGGCGTGTCGCCGCAGTGGAAAGGTCCGGGAAAGTTTCTTTGGAGGTGAAAACAGCCGCGGAACTCAGGGCCCCACGAGGAGAACAGGGGCGCGGGGGGTCCCAGGGCCAGGGCGGGCTCCTTCCAGGGCGGGGGGGAAGGAAGCTGGTCCTGGCCTCCCGTGGGGCGATCGCCCAACAAAGGATTCCTGGGGCGCCCGCCTTCGAGGGGTTCTCCGCCCCCAATCCGGTCCCTTAGGAGCCTCTGGCCCGGCGTTCGGGACTCCCAGTCGGGGTGAGGACGGCACCCCGCCAGCGGGATTTCGGGACGCCCTCGTCTCAGCCCGTTTCTGTGTTTCAGGTCCGGCCCGGTCGGCCATGTCCCACGGGCCCAAGCAGCCTGCCGCGGCCTCTGTGTGAGTGCGCCGCCCCTCGCCCTACCCCACACCCCAGGGTCTTAGCCCCAGCAATCGGGGTCAGGGGACCCCACGGTGCATCTCTCAGACCCCCGATCCAACCCACACCACAGGGTCTTGGACCCCAACCTGGATCAGGGGTCCACACGGGGCTTCCCCGGGACTCCGCCTCCCAGGATCTTGGCTCCCCAGCCTGGATCAGGGGGTCCTCACGGCCTGCTCCTGGACTCCAGCCCGCACCTCAGGGTCTTGATTCCCCCCAACCTGTGTCAGGGAGTCTCCACTGGTGCTTCTGGACCCCTGTTCCAGCCCTAGCCCCAACCTGCACCCCAAGGTCTTGGCCTCCTCTACCTGGATCGCCCCCCCCCCCGCGCCGGTGCTTCTCCCCCGAGCCCAACCCACGCCTCCCAGTCCCCGGGTCCAGTCTCTCCTTAGGACCCCTGACTGTTATCCCTGATGCGGCCATCTCGACCCCTGCATCTCAAACCCCTCAGACCGCCCTGTCCTGGGACTCGAGCTCCCCACTGTCAGCTCCATGGTCTCTAATACTTCCGTGGTCCCTAAATGCTCTGGGTGGGCGTAGGGGCAGGGAAGGCTCCAGGAATGAGGGTGACCCTGGTATACCATGGCCGCAGGCCGGCGGGCGGCAAGGCTCCGGGCCCCCACGGGGGCTTTGTGGTGGCTGTCAAGCAGGAGCGCGGCGAGGTCCCTCGGGCTGGCGACAAGAGCTCCCACGAGGAGGAGGTGAGTTTCTGTCCCCAGCTTTGAAGCCCCGCCCCAGACTACATTTGAATTTCTTGTGGCCCCACCCACAGCCCCAGACTTCTAGGTCCAGGTAAAGACTCCACCCACCATGCGACCTGTCACGCCCCTAATAGGTCCCCTGCTGCGCCATGCTCACCTATCAGCGGTGGCTCCTCCCACGGGGCAATGCTCACTTTCAGCGGAGCAGCTCCCCCCCAGAGTAACCACACCTACACTTCAGAAGCCATGCCCACAGCCCCTACCTGCTCATCCTTGGGCTCAGCCCGCTGCTAGTATCTGAGAGCCCCTCATCTAAGCAGGGATTCCTCTAATTTCCTGGGCCCTGATCCCTGACCAGACCGTTTTCCAGCCCTCCCTCCCCCATAGGGCCCGCCCACCCACACACCCAAGGCACCCCCAGCCCTCCAGCCCCTCCCAACAGACATAGTGCTATTGCAGCCAGTGAAGAAGCGGGGCTGGCCGAAGGGCAAGAAGCGTAAGAAGATTCTACCGAATGGTCCCAAAGCACCAGTCACGGGCTACGTGCGCTTCCTGAATGAGAGGCGCGAGCAGATCCGCACTCGTCACCCAGACCTACCCTTCCCGGAGATCACCAAGATGCTGGGTGCCGAGTGGAGCAAGCTGCAGCCTGGGGAGAAGCAGGTAGGGAAAGCAGGGCCGCTGAGCCCTGAAGCTCCGACAGCCACAGCTGCCCTATGTTGGTGTGGAGGGCTCACTTTCTGTCTGGAAGATGACCACCCACGACCTGCACCCTGGTTGGCAATAGTTAGCAGTGGGCGAGAACAGAGCCAAAACTCCACAACCAGTAAGGACAGGTCTAAGCCAAGCATGGTGGCTCACCCTGGCATCTCAGCACTCTGGGAGGCTGAGGCAGGGGGATTGCAAGTTTCAGCCCAGCCTGGGCAATTTAGTGACTTAGCAACATCCTGTCAAAAATAAATAAATATTTTGAGATGGAGTCTCAACTTGTAGTTCAGGCTGGCCTTCCTTGAACTCAATATGTAGCCCTCAAACTCAAAGTGATCCTCCTGCCTCAGCATCCTGAGTGCTGGGGTTACAGGCATGTGCTACAGTGGTTAAAACCTTCAAGATTAAACATTTTTAATTTTTTATATTTTATTTTATTTTGTTAAGACAAGGTCTCGCTATGTAGTTCAGGCTGCTGGCCTTGAACTCACTATGCAGCCCAGACTACTAGCCTCAAACTCACAGTGATCCTTCTGCCTCGGCCTCCTGAGTGCTGGGATCACAGGCCTGCACCACCATGCCCGACAGAAAAAAGAAAAAAAATTTAAAAGGTCTGGGGTTGTAGCTTAGTACAAAGGGCCTGGATTCAATCCTCAGCACCGTAAGTAAGTGCCAAAACATCAAGGAAATGTATAGACCACCGTGGGGTTTTGCCTGGCGAGAGTGGGATTTCCCTGGGCAGAAATGGCGCACAAGGGGAGGCCCGGTGTCAGAAAGATCATCAAAGGCTGGGAGATGGAGGTAGGGCTGCGGGGCGGGGCTGGGGGTTTGAGGGGTTTGGGGGTGGTTTGCAGGGCCGGGTGGAGGCAGGGTTGTAGGAGGTGGGGTGGCCGCAGCTGAGGGCATAGGGAGCTATGGAAGGTTCAGCACAGGGAGGCTTGCGTGATGGAGGCGGGGCCTCCCTTCTGAGCTGGGCCAATCTTTGGTGCTTCTCTCCACCCCCCACAGCGGTACCTGGACGAGGCTGAGAGGGAAAAGCAGCAGTATATGAAGGAGCTGCGGGCCTACCAGCAGTCTGAGGCCTACAAGATGTGCACTGAGAAGATCCAGGAGAAGAAGATCAAGAAAGGTGGGCAGGCTGGGGCCCACCGCCGGGGCAGGGCAGGCGACACAGCCCCACAGGAGTCCCAGAGCGGACCCGGGAGGCGGGAGGGGCAGGGTGACCAGGGGAGTGCCAGGGCGCAGAGCGAGGCCCTGGGACCCGGCAAGTTGACTTTGCCTCCCCTCCTGCCCCCAGAGGACTCGGGCTCGGGGGTCGTGAACACGCTTCTGAATGGACACAAGGTACGGAGAGAGCTGGGCGTGACTGGAGGTGTCCAGACCCCCACCCCACGAGCAGGACCAGCCCTGGGGCGGAAGTGGGCATCCCTGGTCCACTTCCGAGTCCCTCCTTCCCAGGCTCGGGGACCTCCAGGGGGTGTGACTGTCCCCTGGAAGACACTGCCACCTGGTCCCGTTGTCCCAGGGTGGGGACTGCGATGGCTTCTCTACCTTTGACGTCCCCATCTTCACTGAAGAGTTCTTGGACCAAAACAAAGGTGAGACGACTTTGGGGACGAAGGGGAGGGTGGTGCGGCTCCCAAACCCAGGCGCCTGCCTTTCCCTGGGGGCCGGAAGTAGGGGGGCTCTGACTCGGGCTGTACCCCCACCCCACCCGGTCCGCAGCGCGGGAGGCGGAGCTGCGGCGCCTGCGGAAGATGAACGTGGCTTTCGAGGAGCAGAACGCTGTGCTGCAGCGGCACACGCAGAGCATGAGCAGCGCGCGCGAGCGCCTGGAGCAGGAACTGGCGCTGGAGGAGCGGCGGACGCTGGCTCTGCAGCAGCAGCTCCAGGCCGTGCGCCAGGCTCTCACGGCCAGCTTCGCCTCGCTGCCGGTGCCAGGTGCGCCAGGCTGACGCCGCCAGCCCCGCCCCTAGCTCGGTCCCGCCCCTCTCAGTCGAGCCCCGCCCCTTCTCGAGCCCCGCCCACTCCGGCCAACTCCCTTCTCCAGCCACCTGCCCAGCCGAGCTCCGCCTTGCCCTCCCTGGGCCACGCCCTTTCTCTACTTGAGAGCTCCACGCTGCTGACCAAGTCCCTCTCTGCCTACTGGCCCCGCCCCTGGGTCTCCGCCCACCTGATCTCCCCTCCTGACGGCCCAGAGCTGCGTCCCCTCTATCCTGATGTCCCCTCTGTCCTGACGCCTTGGAGCCCCGCCACCAACCCGGTTCCCATGAGCCCATCTGCTGACCCCTCTTCCCCAGCCCACCCCGGCCCCTCCCTCGCCTGCCCTCTGGTCCTGAGTCCTCCTTCCCACCCTGTGGTTTCCCAAGTCCTCACCCTGCGCCCCACCCTTGCTCATCTAGGTAGGTCCGTCAGTCCCAGTGGATTCTGGCCCCGCCCTAGGCCCCCAACTGCGCGTCCACCGGCTCAGATCCAAGCTCCTCCAGCTGGCCTGAGCACTCAGGACCCTGTCCCCCACCAAGACCCCTGATGTCCTGGCCTGGGTTCCTCCCTCTGCCTGCTGACCACCCTCTGCGGTCCCCCACAGGCACCGGAGAGACCCCGACTCTCAGCACCCTGGACTTCTACATGGCCCGGCTGCATGGTGCCATTGAGCGTGACCCGGCAAGGCACGAGAGCCTGATCGTGCGCATCAAGGAGATCCTGGCCCAGGTCGCCAGGTGTGTGCAGCAGGCGCCAGGCCCAGGGCTGCCCGGGCTGGATTGAAGGGGGCAGATGGAACCGTCCAGTGGGGTCCCCAGGCCACCGTCCCTGAGGGGGAGCAAAATGGTCCCCTGGGGACCAGAACTTCCCCGAAGCTTCCCAGGGCGGATCCCAACTGTCTGGGTCGGGAGTACGGCTCAGACCTTACCCTAGGGGCTGGTGAGGGGGTTGGAGGGGCCTCGGCCTCCAGGGTCCCCAGGCTGGGTTGGCTGGACACTGATGGGGGTCACTCCCCCCCCCCCGTTACAGCGAGCATCTGTAGGGCCGGCTGCCCACGGATCCCAGGAGCAGCGCAGCGCCCGGCCCTCCCCATACTGGGTGATGGAGGAGAGGCTGGGGCTCCACCCTTTGGGGCCAGGCCCCATCCTGCACCTTGGGGGCTCCAGCCCCCCTAAAACTAAATCTCTACAGCACCCCTTCAGCTTTCAGGCTCCCAGTCCCAGAACCCAGAGAAGGCACTGGAAAGGAAACTAGAACCCCAGAGTGGCAGGGCCCAGAGGGGACACCCAGGACCCACGGCACATGAGCCATGGGAGGGCTGCCTAGGGCTCCCCTGCACCCCCAGAACTGCTTGCAGCAAAGGCTGCCTGCACACCGGCCATGCAACAGAAAGAGCCTTGGGTAGCAGCCCTCAGTCTCGGCAGTGCCTGGGTGCGGAGGGGTTGGGCGGCCCTGACTGTCCCCTGCTCCAGCTGAGCAGCCCTCACGGCGGCAGATCTTCCCACTGCTCGCACCAGACTTTTTAAATAAAAACTCAAAGGATTTGCGTTTCAAGTTTGTGAGTGTGGTTTGTTGGGGGTGGTGACCGTGACACCCATCACAGCCTCACTGGAACCCCAGCTCTGCCTTCGTATGTCTGAGATGGGGAAACTGAGGCCCACACTTGGCCAGATTCACAGCGAGGCAGGGACAGCCCCCTCCTTCCCCTCCTGAATATGACGTGGGGGTCAGCCACACACAGGGGACCGAGGCTGGGCGGGAGGGTCTTGGCCACTCAGTGTACCCTTCAGCGGCTTCTCCTGATGGATTAGAAACCTCTTGCTGGCAGAGTGACTTCGACAGAACCTAAACTTTACCATTTTACCATGTAGAAATGGACAATTCAGAGACAGCACACTCACTGCTGTATAACCATCATTATTAGACAATTCTACCGCTTTCTCACCACTGCAAAAGAAACCTCAGCGCCATGAGGAGTCAGTCACCCATCCCCTCCCAGCTGCAGCATCCCCGAGTCCACTTCCTGTCTCTGGAGTCACCTATCCTGGGCGTTTCCTGTTCACGGAGCCCATGCTGTGTTCTCTGTGTCTGGCGCCTCTCACTGAGCACAGTGTCTTCAAGGTTCTTCCGCATTGTAGCAAGTGTCCCTTTGGCAGGTTTTTAAACCTCATCAGAGAGAAGGGCTGTTTTTTGAGCCAAAATCCCTATCTAGGATTTTTGGTTTGTTTTTGTTTGAGACAGGGTCTTGCTATGTATTCCAGGCTGGCCTCAAACCTGAGGTGCTCTCCTGCCTTGGCCTCCTGAGTGCCACCACGCCCAGGTCCTGTCTAGGTATTTTAAGGGAAGCCAAGTGTTTCCAGTGCCACATCCCCAGGGGATTTTTACAGGCTCCTGGTGCCTTCTGTGACCTGGGGATCCATGCATTTCCTCCCCAAACAAAATGTGAGCACCTACTATGTGGAGCATACAGCAAGCAGTTCAGCCCTGGAAGAAAGCATGCTGATCCCTGCCCTCCTGGAGCTGACCTTGTAGCTAGGGACATGGGCAGGGCACAAGGTGAAGAGGTGAAGCACCTAATGTACCTCACAGTGCTGGGGTGAAAAATAAAGTTGAGGAAGAGACATTGGGAGGTAGAGAGAGCAGGTAGTCTTTGGGCAAAGACCTGAGAATTGAGGAAGTGGATCGTGCAGAGCTCTAGGAAAAGGTGGTCCTAGCAGAGGGCACAGCTGTGCAAAGGTTCTGGGGCAGCATGGAGCCAGGTGTTGAGCGTCCTGGAGGCCCGTGTGGTATGGCTGGATCAGAGGGAGCGAGGGGCAGAGAAGGAGGGGATGCAGAGGGACATGCAGAGTCCTGTGGGCTGCAGGGGGGACTTGGATTTTTCCTTTGAGGAAAGTGGGAGCCGTAGAAGGCTGTGGGCAGAGGAGGGACTGGGATGGGACTCACTTTATAGCAGCTTAACCGTTCTGCCCCATCTTCAGGTTGTTGGAAGGATTAAATGATCCCCTAGCAAAGAGTGACAGAGCCTGAGCCCGAGCCACCTCAGGGGCCGACGACCTTATTTATGATCCTTGTTATTCTTAGGTCCTCAGCTCGGGCCCCAACAGACGTCCGCCAGGCGTCCCTGGGGAGGGCGCAGCTGGCCTGGCAGGGCCTGGGCACCTGGGGCCCGCGCCTCCCTCCACACTGTGGTGTCGCCTTCCCGGCCGGCTCGGGTTCCCGGATCCCCTTACTAGGCGGCTCGGCTGTCGCGTCCTGAGCCGGAGGTGGGGAGGCTGCAGGAAGCGGTGGATCCGGCGGCGTCGGCCCGGGTGGGTGCGGAGTCCCCGCCATGGAGAGCGAAAAGGCCCGCGAGTCCGGAGGCGCCGAGACCCTGCAAGGCCCCGCGCCTCCGCCCTCGCCAGCCGAAGCCCCCGCCGCGCCCCGCGCCCGCCCGCGCCTCGTCTTCCGCACGCAGCTGGCGCACGGCAGCCCCACGGGCAAGATCGAGGGCTTCACCAACGTCCGCGAGCTCTACGCCAAGATAGCCGAGGCCTTTGGGATCGCCCCCACCGAGGTGAGGACGCCGGGTCGCGCCCAGGTTCCCGAGTGCAGAGGGGTAGAGGCTGGGCGGGAGACCTAGATTCCTGGATCCCGGATCCTGATCCCTGTATCTCGAGATTGGAGGAGGGAGTCAGGCTGGGTCGCCAGATAGCAAGGAAGCGCCTCTCAGATCCTAGAGGCCACCTGCCAGGGACCCCTTAGGAGGGGATGTAGGAGATGAGAGGCCCTGGGATTAGCAACCCAGCTGGGAGTGAACCCGGCCTTTGGGGAGCGCCTGGGTGATCCTGGGTGCAGCAGGTGGACAGGCCTGGCTGGGGTTTGCCCAGCCTGGGACTGCACTCTTAGAAGCCCCTAGGAGGCCCCTCAAATTTCCATCTCTCTGAGAAACCCGGTTTTGAATGGTTAATCCTAGCAGCCTGGGGGATGGGAGAGGGGTCCGGCAGCCCCACAGCCTCCTATTCATCCTTCCCCATTCGGGACCCTCCTCCTTTCCTCCCTTCCTCCCTTCCTTCCTTCCTCCCTCCCCTTATCTTGTTTTCCTTCCTGGGGATTGAACCCAGGGGTGTAGCTATATCTCCAGCCCTTTTTATTTTATTTTGCTACAAGTCCTAGATAAGTTGCTCATACTGGCCTCACACATGCAATCCTCTTGCCTCAGCCTCCCTCAGTGCTGTAATTACAGGCATGCACCCCCAGGCCAGGTTTCAGTCCTACCATTCCACATGGGCTGGGATCTTGGCTGCTGGGAGCCTGAGCCAGGTCTGCAACACTTGAGACTCAGTTTCCCCATCCTCCTGGGTCTCTGGGGGCAGACAACATAGCACAAGGTGCCAGGTGCCAGGGCTGATTCGGCGCTCCCCTCTCCCCGGGCAGATCTTATTCTGTACCCTCAACAGCCACAAAGTGGACATGCAAAAGCTGCTGGGGGGGCAGATAGGGCTGGAGGATTTCATCTTCGCCCATGTGCGCGGCGAGACTAAAGAGGTAGAGGTCACCAAGACAGAGGATGCCCTCGGGCTGACGATCACAGACAACGGGGCCGGCTATGCCTTCATCAAGGTTTGAGGGGGTATGGTGAGGGGCTGGTGGGTGACATCCCAAGGGGGCTCTGGGAACCCAAAGGGGGTGGCTGAGTTGGCTGGGGTAACTTGGGTCCCCGCAGAGGATCAAGGAAGGCAGCATCATCAATCGCATCGAGACAGTGTGTGTGGGGGACAGCATCGAAGCCATCAATGACTACTCCATCGTTGGCTGCCGCCACTACGAGGTGGCCAAGATGCTCCGGGAGCTGCCCAAGTCCCAGCCCTTCACCTTGCGCCTGGTGCAGCCCAAGAGAGCCTTTGGTGAGGCCACCAGGGTCCAGGGATTGGCAGGTGGGGATGCAGCCAGCGAGTGGGGCCTTGGGATGGTGGAGGGTGCAGAAATGGAGGTTTTGGGACAGAAGGGGAGGGTTTAGATTGTTAGGGACATTCGTGAAGGACCAGAGGGTGACCAGTGCAGAAGGGACAGGATAGGGACATGCCCAGGTCCACTCTGTTGCCTGGATGGAGGTTCTGTGGTTTTGTTTTGTTGAGACAGGGTCTCCCTATGTGCCCCAGGCTGGCCTCAAACTCATGGCAAACATCCTGCCTCAGCCTCCCAAGTGCTGGGATGACAGGCGTGCACCACCATGCCTGGATGCATGATTTTTTATATCAAGACTTTTCCAGCAACGGAAACACTGTGCTGATTTTCATGAGGAACATCTCCTTTTCTCGTCATGGGCCTCAGGCAGGACTGTTCTAGAGCAGGGGGCTCTGAATTACCCTGGCATGCCTGGGAGGAGGCCCCTGTAGACTGGGTAGCGTGGGGATTTGGGTCTGCCCTGTGTGGTGGCTGTGAACTTTGAGACCCAGTGTAAAAGTTAGGAAAGGTGAGGGCTGCACCAGGGCCCTTTCTGGTTGGACTCTGCAGGCACAAGTAGGGTCTTAACATCATCTGTCTAGAGCCATTTTAAGAGCAGGGTGGAGGTTTGAGGGGACAGGATTGAGGTGTTGGTTCTAGGGCTGTCCTGTCCTGTCATACTGGCTTCTTCTGGATTCAATTTAATTTCTGGGGGACAGGAGGAATGGAATCTCCAAAGGGATCTCTGAAAAGTCTCCCTGCGGGCTGAGGCAGCTGGATGGCAAGTTTGAGCCCAGCCTGGACAATTTAGCAACTTAGTGAGACCCTGTCTCAAAATAAAAAATATAAAGGGGTTAGGATAGATAGAGCTCAGTGTGAAGGCCCTGGGTTTAGTTTCCAGCACTGAGAAAAAAAATTCACCCATGGATGGACTCTGAAAGAATGTTCTAGCCAGGGATTTAGCTCAGTAGCACCACGGCTGCCTAGCAAGTGCAAGGTCCTGAGTTCGATCCCCGGTACCAAAAAAACACAAAAAAACCAAACGAATGTTCTAGAAAGGTTCAGCTAGTGGGTTCCCAGTGTTTTTTCAGAACTGAGTCTCCCTCAAAAGGGCAAGGTCCTGAGTTCGATCCCCGATACCAAACAAACAAACAAAACAACCAGAACTGAGTCTTCACACCTAGAACACATCACACCCCCTCTCTGTCCCCTCCAGATATGATTGGCCAGCGGAGCCGGAGCAGCAAGTGTCCCATGGAAGCAAAAGTGGCCAGTGGGAGGGAGACCCTGCGACTGCGTTCTGGGGGTGCCGCCACCGTGGAGGAAGTGGTGAGTGGCAGGAGGGGTCCCTAGGGCCCCTCACCTACAGCTTTGCTGTGGACTCAGTGTGGCCTTGGATATGAACCTCTTCTTGGCCAGGTGCAGTGGCGCACACCTGTCATCCCAGCACTCTGGGAGGATGAGGCAGGAGGATCACAAATGCAAACCCAACCTGGGCAACTTAGCAACTTAATGAGACTCTGTCTCAAAATAAAAAACAAAAAAGAGCTGGGAATGGAGTTCAGTATGAAGACCCTGGTTTCCACCCCCAGTGCCACAAATAAAAAAGAACCTTTGCTGAGAGCCTGTTTCCCTAGGTGGGAAGGGGACCCTGGTGAGAGGCATGAGCTCTTCCTAGGGGTGTGGGGAGGGTGGCTGCAGGGGCTGGAGCCCCTCACCCTCTGCTCCCTGTTGCACCCAGCCCAGCGAGTTTGAGGAGGAAGCGTCCCAGAAGGTGGACGACCTGCTGGAGAGCTACATGGGCATCCGAGACCCCGAGCTGGGTAAGGGGCCAGGGTAAGCTGGGGGTCCCCGGGGAAGCAGCAGGAGGAGGCTGGGGTCACGGGCAGTGGGGTCCCGGAGCGCCCTCAACTGCCTGCCCTGCCTGGCCCGCAGCATCCACCATGGTGGAGACGTCCAAGAAGACGGCCAGCGTCCAGGAGTTTGCACGCTGTTTAGACTCTGTCTTGGGCGAGTTTGCCTTCCCGGACGAGTTTGTGGTGGAGGTGTGGGCTGCCATCGGCGAGGCCAGGGAGGCCTGTGGCTAGTGTGCCCGGGGAGCCAGCGCAGCCCCAGCCTGGACCATGGCCCCCCACCCCAGCCCTGCTCCAGTGCCTGGCCCCAGCCAAGCTCCGAGGCCAGGCTCACCTCCAGAAGCCAGCCCAGTTCGGAAATCCCACCCAGCTTCTCCAGACTGCAGCCCTGCTTAGAGAGCAAGCCAAGAGCTGAGGCCAAGCCCTGCTCCGGAGCCCAGGCCCGCTCTGAGATAGACCCCACCTTTAGGTGCCAGCCAGGCTCTGAGACCAAGCCGGGCTCCAGATCCCAGCCAGGCTTCAAGAGGAAACTCAGCCCTGAGACCAAAAGCAGCTCCAGGGCCCAGCTCAGCCCTGAGACTAAGATCATATCTAGAATCTTGCTGAGCCCTGACATCAAGTCATGCTCTGGAACCCAGATAAATGCTAAGATGCAATCCAGTTCAGAGATTGATCCCAGATCCAGTACCCAGTCCAGTTCTGAGACCAAACCCAGCCATAAAACTCAACCTGATTCTGGAACTGAAGATGCCTCCATGGCCCAGCCTGATTTGGACACTCAGCGCAGTTCTGGGACACCAGGTAGCTTGGGAAGCCAGAGAGTCAAGCAACAGGCCAGCTCTAGAACTCAAGCCGCCCCAGGCAGCCAGCTCTACACTGCTGTGCAGTCTCGATCCAAACCTCAGCCCTGCTCTAAAACCCACTTGCACCCAACTACCTACTCCCATTCTGCATCCCCGTCCAGTTCCAGCAATGAGTCCAGCTCTGAGATAGAGCCCAGCTCTAGAGCCCAGCCTACCAGCACCACCAGGCCCAGCTCCAGAATTCAGTCTGGCACCGAGCCCCCCTCTCCTTGCAGAACACATGCCAGTTCTAGAATTCAGATCAACTCTGGCACCCAGACTGACTTCAAGGCCTGGCCAAGTTCTAGAGCTCAGCCAAGCCCAGGTATCCCACCCGGCTCCAGGGCTCAGTTCAGTTTTGGAGCACAGATTGTTTCTGAAAAGCCATCCAGCTTCCAAACACAGTCAGCGTCTGAGCCTCAGCTGAGCTCCAGAATCCAGCTACGCTCTGGAATCCACTCTGGTGCTGGGACACAGCCCACAACAGCCACAGATTCCAGCTCCAGGACCCAGCACTGCACAGGGGCTCAAGCAACCTTTAGCATTCAACTTGGCTCTCAAACCCTCCCACGATCTAGACACCAGCTCCAGGCCACAACCCCAGCCGGCTCAGTTATTCAGCCAGACTCAGGGAAGCAGATCAGCTCTAGAGCCCAGCCCAGCCCAGGAACCCAGGCCAGCTCAAGGATCCAGCCTGGCTCTGGAACTCACCCGAAGTCTGGAACCCAGCCTCTTCCTGGAATCCAATCCAGCTGGAGAATCCAGCTCAGCTCTGGAAATGGGCTCCATCCACAGACCCTTGACCCTAGAGCCCACCCTAATTCCTCTGCCCTGACCCAGTCCCCAGGCCTACCCTTCAAGGCCGCAACTCCAGCTGCCAGCAAAGCCCCAGGACCTAGGCCTTGGCCTACTGATTGGGTACCTGGATCAGGCCTCTCAGCCTCCCTCCTGGTCCCCCAGCCAGCAGCTCCTATGCCCCAGAAGCCACCCCTTTCCCCCAAGCCAAAACTGGGCCCCCAGGAGCCCACCCCACCACTTGTGTCTGTCACTGCTGGCCTTGTCCCCAGGGGGACCCTCCTGAGCTCACCTCCCTGAGCCCCCGGGACACACCCTTCCCCACAGACCTGGGGAGCCAGGGCTCCTCCCCCACCAGGTGTGATGTCACAGCGGCTCCCGCAGCCCCTCCCAGCCTGGGTTCCCCTACCCAACAGATGACCTCATTCCCCAGACAGGCCGGGAGGGGGTCATGGAAACAGGATTCGATTTCACAGGGCCTGGCCAGGGACTTGTAAGCGGATCCTATCTGTGGAGGACAAGGCGGGCAGCAGAGGCACTGGCTTCCGTGCCTCCAGGGCAGGGCAAATAAATAAAGGCTCCTCACACCTGTGGCCCCGATGTCATTCATTCCATGGTCATGGGGGTGCAGGAACACGGGGACGGACTGGGCCAACACCAGATGGCCCGTTAAGCACCTCCTGTACGCCAAGCGCCCTCTTCAGCGGTCCTCGGGCACTGGCAGGTGATCTAGGAAAATCATTTACTGGCGGTCGCTACCAGCCAAGGTAGCAGGCAAGGCGCTGTCCATGGTTCCTGCGGTGCGGCATCACCAGGAAAAGATGAAAAACGGATACAAACCTGTGACCTCAGCATGCTGGAAGGCTGAGGCAGGAGAATCCCAAGTTCAGGCCCAGCCTGGGGCCAGCCCTTGTCGCCCAGGAATCTGAGCCCCGACAGAAGGAAAATAAAGCCAGAAACCTTGAGAAATATTTTAGCGAGAAAGGGGGTGCCCCCCTCACTGTGCACCTTCAATTTATTTATGTATTTATTTATTTATTTATTTATTAAAATTCTTGTGGGTGGAACCCAGGCCCTTGCACATGCTAGGCAAGTGATCAGCAAGGAGCTGCATCCCCAACTCCTTTTCATTTTGAGACAGGGTCTCATTAGACTGCTCAATTGCCCAGGCTGGGCTGGAACTTCCAATCCTCCTGCCTCTGCCTCCCGATTGCTTCGATGGCGGGTGGGTGCCGCCATCCCCTGCAGGTGGAACCCGTTCTGGCAGAGCTGTCCCAGAGAAGTCACCACCCCCAGCAAGGCCTCTCTTAGGGGATCACAGCACCCCCAGCTCTGGGGGCTTCAAGAAGCAGCCTTGGGCTGGGGATTTAGCTCAGTGGTTCCGCCACCTGCCTGCCAGGCACAAGGTCCCGAGTTTGATCCCTGGTACCAAAAAAAAAAAAGAAGCCTTGCTCCTCTGGGCTTCACAGTCCGATTCCTTCCAGGCACCCCCAAACTCCCTGCCTGGGGCTAGGGGGACGTGGGGGTGCTCTAGAGCAGGGGACAGTATGGGGAGGAGGGCTCCGAGTGGGCAGGGCGTGAAGAGGCTGTTGCAAAGGGACCAGGGAGGAGTTGGGGTCCCCAGGCCCGTAAAGCTCCCCCCCAGTCACAGTGGCGCCCGGGCGCCCTGGGCGAGCTGCGGTCGCAAGGACAGTGACCCGGACGGCGAGCTGAGGCGCGGGTGTAGACGCCGCAGCACGGAGCGGCGGAAGAGGATGTAGACCCAGGGGTCCAGGATCTGGTTCCAGGTGGCCACGCGCAGGTAGATGAGCAGCTGCCGCTCCGTGGCCCGGGACAGCTGCCCAGAGGCGCTCATGGCCGGCGGCGTCCGCAGCACCGTCTGCGCGATGAAGACCTGCGGAACCAGGGGGCAGTGAGCGCGGCGGGGACTGGGAGAGAGGCGCGGGCAGCGTTCCCAGCCCTCCTCAGCACGGCTGCCATGTTAGTCCATTAAGACCTTCGTCTGAGAACTTTTCTTTTTTAGTTTTTTGAGACAGGGTCTTGTTATGTAGCCCAGGCTCGAACTCATGATGATCCTCCTGCCTCAGCCTCCAGAACGCTGGGATGGCAGGCGTGTGGCTCCACACCCGGCCATAAGACTTCATAGTAAAACGGCCGGGGATTTAGCTCAGTGGTTTCGCCGCCTGCTGCACAAGTTCAAGGACCCGAGTTCGATCCCCAGTACCAAAAAAAAAAAAAGACTTTATAGTAAAAGCAGGAGGTGGGGCTGGGAATTTAGCTCAGTGGTTCCAGCACCTGCCTCACAAGCGTAAGGTCCTGAGTTTGATCCCCCATACCAAAAAAAAAAAAAAAAGCAGGACGTGGTGGCACACGCCTGTAGTTCCAGCACTTGGGAGGCTGAGGCAGGAGGATTGCCATGAGTTCGAGGCCAGCCTGGGCTACATAGTGACTTCAGGGGCAGTCTAAATTATATAGCGAAACCCTGTCTCAAAAAGAAAGAAAAGAAAAACACACACACAACTTTATAGTTGAAGTACATTAATTTATATGAATATATATGGTACATATAGTTCATTCTTTCTTTTTTTTTTTCAGTACTGGATTTTGAACTTAGGGTCTTCATACTGAGCTCCATCCCCAACCCTTTTTATTTTTTATTTTGAGACAGGGTCTCACTAAATCTAAACTGTCCAGGCTGGGATCAAACTTGCAGTCTTCCTGCCTCAGCTACCCAGAGTGCTGGGTTTACAGGTGTGTACCACTGTGCCCAGCCAAAATTGTATAATGCTTTATTATGTACTAAGTTTCTCTATACTAATGTGTATATTTTACCATTTTAATATATCTTTCAACATATAATTTATATTTATTATTCAATATATAACACGCATTTTAATAAATTATTATATAACATAAAAATTAAAAATATATAACAATTATATAATTAATGTAATTATAAATACAATTACATATAATTATACAATGTGGCAGCATGCACTATTTAATTTTAATATTACATAATGATGCAACTATTAGCTATAATAACATAATAATTATGGTGCTTATATTATTTTACTTATGTTTTTGTGGTGCTACATCCCTAACCCTTTTATATTTTTTATTTTATTTTACTTATTTATTTATTTTGGTACCAGGGATCGAACTCGGGTCCCTGTGGTTGCAAGGCAAGCTGTACAACCACTGAGATAAATCCCCGGCTGTTTTTTTATTTTGAGACAGGGCCTAGCTAAGTGATCTAGGCTGACCTCAAACCTGCGACCCTCTTGCCTCAGCCTCCCAAGTGGCTGGGATAATAGGTGTGTGCCACCATACCTGGGTTATATTTTACAATTGCAAATAATTATAATTAAGGACTATGTTACTAAAATAATTTGCGTTTTATTAAGATGTATGGCTACAGTGACACTATATCATTTCCTGTGCCTACTGTGTGCTAGGGACCTGGGCAGGCGCACACGAAGGCCAAGACACAGGGAGCCATCGTCTGGTGCACAACTCAGTCCCCTACACCAGAGGGCGCTTTGAGCACCATGTCAGGCCCTCCTTCCTCTGCCATCAGCTCTCCATGGCTACTACCTCCCAAGGGCCAAAGGCCAAGTCCTCCCTGCAGCCCACAGGGCCCTGCACAATCCCCCCACCCCATCCCTTCCCTGCCTCCCCAGCTCCCTCTCTGCCCCTGGCTCCCTCTGCTCCAGCCACATGGCCTTCTTGCTGCTCCTACACCAGGCCGGGCTCTGACCTGCCCCAGGGCCTTTGCCCAGCCATGCCCTCCACTTGGGATACTTCCCCCAGGTCCCTGAGCAGTTTACTCCTGAGGTCTTCCACAGCCTCCTCCTCCCTGCCCTCTAGAATGAACTGTGCCCTACTTTAAACCATGGGAGCTGGGGTTCTGAAGGATGAATAGGAGTTTATTTGTTGGACAAAATCAGAGAAGTCATCCTAGTTAGAATCACTAAATTCTTCAATGTTTCTTTTTCTTTGGATGGAACCCAGGGCCTCACCCACGCTAGGTAAGTGCTCACCACTTAGTCGCCCCCAGCCTGTGTTGGCATCTTGTTTTTTTGTTTGAGACAGGGTCTCACTATGCAGTTCAGGCGGGCCTTAAACTCACCACGTACCCTGTGCTGGCCTGGAACAAGTGGTGATCCTTCCCGCTCTTGAGTGCTAGGATGACAGGTGTGTGCCACCGTGCCCAGCCCTGTTGGCATCTTGTTAATCCTACAACCAGAGGGAACTGAGCCCCCTGCTGGCCATCTGTGCTCATTCAATGGAAGGGCTCCAGTTTACAAAATTCAGGCGTGGTGTCACACGCCCGTCATCCCAGCACTCTGGGAGGCTGAGGCAGGAGGATCACATTTGAGCCCAGGGTGGGCAACTTAGTGATTTAGTGAGGCCCTGTCCCAAAAGAAGAAGAAAAGTACTGGAGATGGAGTTTAGGACTGGAGATGGAGCTCAGTGTGAAAGCCCTGGGTTCCATCCCCAGTACTGCAAAAATAAATAAATAGCCACCTTGTGGGCTCCTCCTCTGAGCTCAGATCCATGACCCACCCGGAGAAAATCTGTGTGGGGCTGCTGGGGTCCAGCCCTGTGCTAGACACAAAGTAGACATATCCACAGTGCTTTCCCCATTTTTAATCTAGCAAGCGAACTCCTCTACATCCTTCAAAGCCCTTTCTCTGTAAACTTTTCTAGCATATCACAGGTAGAGCCTTGAAGCTCCTCTCTGGACCTCTCCGTCCCCAGCCCGGAATGTGCATTTTGGGGGTCATCTGTGCCTGGCTCGTGAGCCCAAAAGCAAGGAGACAGGAAGTTTCTCGGGCAGACCGGAACCCAAGGGGTCTGACGCCACCCTAGACGCCCGAGGCCCCCACCACTCACCAGCAAGGGCATCCAGCAGACGCTGGCCACCACCATGATGCCCAGCAGCTGCGCCATCATCTCCACCTCGCCGTCCCGCGGGCGCTGCCGGGCGGCCTGGCGGCCATGGTAGACGCGGCACAGGGTGAGCACGCTGACGGTGTTGAGCACGAAGGACAGCGCCACCGACAGGCCGCCCAGCAGCGCGAAGAGCAGCGCGAAGGCCACGTCGCCCGGCCGCGCGCCCAGCGTCAGGAAGCACCAGGAGCCCGGGTACTGCAGGGAGTAGCGGCCCAGCCCCAGCGGCGGCAGCAGCCCCAGCGCCAGCGCCGCCGCCCACACCAGAGCCACGGTGGCCCAGGCCCGGCGCGGAGAGGCGGCCGCGGGGCGCGAGAAGGGCCGCGTGATGCCCAGGTGGCGCTCGGAGGCCATGGCGGCGCCCAGGAGCAGCGGGCACAGCCCGAAGAAGACCATGGCGACACCCATGAAGTCGCAGAGGCGGCAGAGCGGGTCCACGGTGCGCCAGTCGAAGAGGATGGCGTGCTGGGACACGACGATGAGGCCGGTGACCAGCAGCCCCAGGAAGTCCGTGAGGACCAGGCCGCAGAGGAGGGTGAGGAAGGAGGAGCGGGGACTCGACCCGCCCGCCCGTGCGCCCGCCAGCACGCGCAGCGCCAGCAGGTTGGAGGCCAGGCCCACGGCGCAGAAGGAGGCCGCGAACCAGGGCGAGGCGATCAGGCGCCGCTCCTCCAGCGTGATGTTCGTGGGCCGGAAACACGGCCCCAGGGAAGTATTGTTGAGCCACATGGCGCTGGAGGGGCGAGGGAACAGTGGGTCACCACTCCATCCGGCTGCCCCAGGGTCAGGCACGCCTAGGAGACAGAAGGGAGAAGAGCGGCTTGTTACTGTCACTGCATGATTCTGGCAAACTCCTACACAACCTTCAGTGCCCCAGCTCCAATATCCCCTCTTTGAGGAAGCCTTTCTGAATGCAAGTGGTAAGAATTGAAAACTCTAAGCAGGGCATTGTGATGCACACCTCTAATTGCAGCTACTTAGGAGACTGAGGCAGAAGGATTGCAAGTTTGCATTTTCCAGTACTGGAGATCAAACAGTTTCATCTCCAGCCCTTTTTATTTTGGGACAAAGTCTTGCTAAGTCACTTAGTTGCCCAGGCTGGGCATGAACTTGTGATCTCCTGCCTCAGCCTGGTGCCATCATCCCTGGCTCTGGGGATGACAAATTTGAGCCGAGCCTGGATAACTTAGCAAAACCCTGCCTCAAAATTTAAAAAAAAGCCAGGTATGGTGGAGCACTCCTGCCATCCCAGCACTCAGCAGGCTGAGGCAGGAGGATTGCTGAGTTTGAGACCATCCTGGGCTACACAGTGACTTCAAGGCCAGCCTAAACAATAGCAAAATCCTGCCTCAAAAAGCAAAAACAAAAACAAAAGACCCTTGAGGACAAAGACCAGGGCTGTCCCTCTGGGATGGCTGGAGGCCACTGGAAGTATTTGCTGGGTTCTGAGGACTGAGGAGCCCCAGGTTTGGACTCCAGTCCTGGTGCTCACCGTGTGACTACAGGTCAGAGGCTCCTGCTCCTCGAGCCTCAGTTTCTCCACTGTTTACCCCCTAAGACCTGGGCAGAGCTCAGAACCAGCCCTAGACACTGGGAATGGACATCAAGACCTCCAGGTCGCACCCAGTGAGGTGAGGGCAGCCGCTGTCACCTGGGGATGGCCTAGCTCCTGTCCCTGTTGGTCTTTAGGAAACCTGGGATGCTTATGTCCTTCACTCCCTGCCGGAGTCATGTGACTCCTTTTTTCCACTTTCCCGGTGTCACTTTTAGAAAAAGAAATAAGCCCAGAAGTCACAGTTCCATTTTGGGAAGAAAAAATCCCAGAGGTCCTTTGTGACGATGGCTCCCGAGGGAGGCCGGGAGGGGAAGGGCAGCGGCCGTACCCAGCATGGGGCTGGGGGACAGACAGACACAGCAGGGCCGACTGCAGGGTGGATCAGCTTCGGGACATGCTGAGACCATATGTGGAATAATCATTCAAACACACCCTGGCATCCCAGCACTCTGGGAGGCTGAGGCAGGGGGATTGCAAGTTGGAACCCAGGCCGGACAACTTAGTGACTTAGGTAGACCCTGTCTCAAAATAAAAAAATAAAAAGGAGACACCATTCCAAAGCCAGCTCTGGATTCCCAAGAAGGGACATTCCACAGGGAACCCCAAAGTCCAGAGAGAGGCACAACTTACAAACATCAAGTAGAGGCATCGGTGGGCAAAGGAGGGGTAGTGGCCCCAAGTGCTGGGCAGCTGCCACTCCTATGAAGATCTTCATCGTGCAGGGGGTGGGCACGGACGGAGGCACAGAGAGGTTCATTACTGTGTCCAAAGTCACAGTGTTCATCTGGAGTTGACCTGGGATTTAAACTCGGGCCTCCCATCTGCAAATGTGCGTACGGACTCCAAGATCCCACCAGTCAAACAGCCAGGCGGGAAAGCAGGGAGGGTTGGCATTTGAATTTATTTTCATTTTCTTCCTTCCCTCCTTCCCTCCCCTCCCTTATTTCCTTCTTTCCTTTTTGATACTGGAAATTAAACCCAGGGCCTTCATGCTGAGCTCCATCCCCAGCCCCTCCTTTTAAAAAAAATTTTGAGCCAGAGTCTCATAAAGTTGCTAAGTTGCCCAGGCTGGGTCCAACTCGAGATCCTCCTGCCTCAGCCTTCCGAGTCACTGTGATGACAGGCATGCTCCCCTGTGCCCAGCTGGTATTTTCTTTCTTTCTTTTTTTTTTTTTTGGTACCAGGGATCGAACTCGGGGCCTTGCGCTTGTGAGGCAGGCGGTGGAACCACTGAGCTACATCCCCAGCCCCCAGCTGGTATTTTCTTTGAGGGGTAAGTAGAGCACACCCTCTTCTGACTTTAGACTTGTCCCCTCCCTACTGATGAGATGGGAAGGCAGGGCATGGCAGAGCTGGCTGGGGGAGAAACAGGACCTGTTAAGTACAAGATTCCAGGACACGTGCCAAATAATTCTCAGCACCCTATATGTAGAGTTCTCACAGGTTCTTGTGACATTTGGAAAGAATAAAAGGACACAAATGCCATGAAGAGCTCACTATTGTGCCTCTTCATGGTAGCCCACCCTCATGCTATAGGGTGTAATCTTATTTTTATTTTTTCTCTCTTTTACTCACCCTAAGTTCACTCTGCAGACCTCACCCTTCACTCTTAGTTTTTCAAATAAATCTGAAACTTTGAGTCAGACCCCTGCCCAGGCAGAAGAGAAAATGTCCCAGGCAAAGCAGTTACACATCCTGCAAGGTGCACAGGATAACAGGAAGCCAAAGTTCAAGAGAAATGGCCTCTCCCATGCAGCAACATCTGCAGGTCCAGATACCCCTGGAGACCAGCAACCTCTGCCCCAGAACAAAAGACTTCCTCTACTCCAAGACAAAACTTTCCACTCCTCTTAGTACTACCCCTCTCCTACCCAAACTCCTCTATAAAGTTTCCCCTTGCCCCCCCCCCCCCCGTTAATAGCTTTGTTGTCTTTGACTCACCTGCACCTAGGCTGAAAATAAAACCTCACTTGTTGCTTTATTTTTGTCTGCTCTGGTGGTCTCAGTCAGCTTTGGTTTACCCTAACACTTTGCACCATTTTTATTTGTTTCATTCAATTCTTTGTTCAAGATTGAAGGAACCTGGAACCAGCTTTTCCAAACCCGGTAACATTTATTTGGCGAGCCAGTCAGGAGACAGGTAAATGTTACCGGGTGCATTTTTTTTGTTTCTCTCTAAATGCCACGACCGTATTTTGCTAGGGTTTTTTCTTCCTCTTTCTCTTTCTCTCTCTCCTAAGCTGCCAGTCTGAGAAGCTTTTCCTCATGGGACTGGGAAGAGCTTCCTAGTCCTGCCATGGGGGATGAGGAGGATGGAATGCATAGCAGTGTGTTTTTCTTCCAGCCACAATTGACTTTCGTTTTCTTTTTTCTTTTTTCTTTTGCTTGTGCTCACTCTGTGGGTACACTGTCCATTTGTTCACCATACAGTATACCCCTGAGAAGTTGTGGTTCAGAGTTGGAGGCCTCAGTTGTTTGCAGATTTTTTCCTTAGAATCTAATAATTATTTGTGGAAACTCCCAAAATTTAGCAGAAACCACAAATATCCTCTGCAATTGTTTTTTTGGGGGAGGGGAGGTTTACAAGTAGCCAATGCAAGAGCGTTACTTAGTTCTCCTTGCTGCTAATTGGCTGCTGCCCTGTAACCCATCTCTGGCAGATGCACCAGCATTCCGCATCATAACATGTTGCTGTACCTGAGTAGCTCTTTCTTCAGTGTTCTCAGTTTGGTTTTGCTTAAAGCCCTAAGATCCTTAAGATGCTGCCAAAATACCTTGCACCTGATAGGTCTCCCACTACCTCAGCAGCTATTATGTATATTAGCTGCCCTCTTCCTATCGTGCCTTGCCCCCTCCCCTGTGTGACGTCATGCCAAGATGGTTGCTCCCACCAAAGAATAAATCCTTCTTCCCAGCATGCCCCTGTTGCCACCTAGAAAGTAACCTAATACTCGCTCACCTCCTACCACCTAGTGACATCACCGGCTCCTCCATTCCTTAGTCACTACTTCACTCGACCCCACCTCAGCCCCTACAAACCCCACCCAGTCTCTATGAAAGACTCTCCCTGCCCCGGCCATATTGCTTTTGTCTCTCCTTCGTTCAGAGACAGCCCGGCAGATCTGTTCCCCTAATAAAGGCTTGTTGTGGCCTGGTCTGGTCTTGGTCTTCGGCCCTTTTACCTGACAGCACCTTCTAAGGCTTTACTTATTTATTTATTTATTTTTCTTCAGTACTAGGGCTTTTCTTCAGAACTCGGAACTTTGTGCTTGCGAGGCAGGCTTGGTGCCACTGAGCCAAATCTTCTAAGGCTTTATTAATACAAAATTATATTAAATTAAATTACATAACTGTGGAAGACATAGCATGTTAGGGTTTAAACTATAAAAGTAGGCATTTTTCTGATCATATCTGAAATTCACAGTTTTTGACTATTCACAGGTGCTGTAGGAACATAACTGCTGTGAATTTGGGGGGCCACTGCATTTTGCTACCCTTTCTGGAAATTAGCCTGATCTCTGCTTGCCCCAGTTAGTAATTGGCTTTTTCTTTCGGTTTGCTGTTTTGGTCCAGAACATCATCCTGTCTTGCTTCATGGCTGGGCAGCATGTTGTCTTATCACATAGCTAAATGCTGCCATTTTTTTTTCCTTTTTTCTTTTCTTTGTTTTAATAATTGGGCTGACAGACCTGACTTTGCAGAGAGGAGCTAACCCTCTGATGTTAGAGAACAAGTGGGCTTCCTCTCCCTTTTCTTTTTAATTATTTTAGCCAGCACAGTGTCTTCCCAAATGGGAGAGAAAGGTTTGTCCATTTAAAAAACTCCCACAGCTTTGGCCTGCGGCAGCCAGTCACAAACAGCAGCTGAGTGAGCTCCTGGTGACTCAGTTCCCTGAGGGTCCTACGGCCTGCCTCGAGCTATTGCTTTCTGGCTAGATCATTTCCTTGTTTAAATGCAGGTAATTTAGAAACATATCCTGATGACCTGAGCAGAACAAATGAACAGCATTTAAAACGTAACTGAAGTGACTGTGAGTACGCAAAAGCAGAGCCACCCCCATTCTTAGGAAAAAACAAAACAAAACGGTCTTCATCTCTACTGCCTTAAACAAAGTAAGTACCAAAGTGTTTTTACTATAAGAGTAAATGCAAGAAGTGTTTTTCCCATAAGGCCTCACTCTGCTTATGTAAAAAGCATCAGGTGGCCCATCTCTGGGATTAGGAGAACTCTGTTTGGGAGGAAAGTTCTGTCCTTATCTAAGAAGTCAAAGGACTAGGTAGGGCCAGCAGCTGGCTCGACCCCCTTCTCTCTAATCAGCTAATGGCTCCAATATGGAGACAAAAAAGCCCTCAGTGGGGCTTTCTTCTGTGCTTCCGAAAACAATGCAGGCATCACTCTAAGTTTCAGAAAGAGACGTCTATCCGGTCAGTGCTAGAGTCTCCCAAGGGGGGCTTTGTGGGGACTTTCAGGTCTTCTCCTTCTGCATGGGGCACCATCTTGAGGAGCCAAGACCCAGCTGTCTCCCTCTCTCCAGGCCCCGAGTCGAGCCAATGGGAAACCTTTTGACCCTCCCCACACAGATTTCACCAACTTCACGTCCTTGATGCATGGGAAGGGTTTGATCCTGACAGTTTAGACAGGAACAGCGTATGTACTATTGCGGTACGGTTTAGGTTCAGCATGAACTGGGGAAAGGGTTAAAGGTGGGTATGGGATGGAACTTTAAATTATGAGACTATGGGCTGGGGATTTACCTCAGTGGTTCTGCTGCCTGCCTCATAAGCACATGGTCCCGAGTTCGATCCCCAGTACCAAAAATAAATACATAAATCAAGAGACTATTCTTCAGTTAAAACGTTTCTCCTTAAAACATAAAAGGTGGAATGAAATCGCTTATGTTCAGACTTTTGTTTTGTTTTGTTGTTTTTGGTACCAGGGATCGAACTCGGGTCCTTGCGCTTGCAAGGCAAGCGACGGAACCACTGAGCTAAATCCCCGGCCCTGTTCAGGCTTTTGTGATCCTTCATCAAAGGGAATGCTCAGGAGCGATGGTATTTCGAGTGGCCCCTGCGGAGGAGGAGGTATTCTGGGTGACCCTGTCCTGAGGTCCCCACCTGTCTCTCAGGGGGACATGGGTTTCTCTGATCGGTTTGATGATATTGGGAAGTCTCCTCGACCTCCTTCTTATTGGCCCTCACCCAGTAAATCAGGTCCACCCCCTCCAAGTGATTCAGGAACTCCATTAGCGCCCAGGGCCCCAGAGAAACCAGGGGTTCCTCAGCTCCCCTATCTTGCTCCTCAGATAGCCTTGAGTCCCCCTGGGTACACAGGCAGCTTTAACCCCAACAGGTTGAACTTTTTTTCAATTGCAGATGTCCAGCAATGCAAAGAACAACGAGGCCAAGTGTCAGAAAGACCAAAAAAAAAAAAAGCCTGACAAGATGCTAGGAACCATGCAGATGAGCACTATGTTTTAAAGGGGAAGGAAACCACTTTGGAGAGGCTATTCTCCCTTCAACAGAACCAAACCGGGACTGTAACACTAGTTGTGGGATGAAAACGAAGTCTGATACGTTAGCTGCTCTTCCCATGGGGATAAAAAGCTATTTTATTAAGTCTTTCATAAATATACTAATATAGATTCATCTTCCAGTGAGGGAAAAGCACTACTGGGACATCGTTCTATTTGTCAATCAACCCCAGATATTCAGCACTAATTGCAAAAACTTGAGATGGGGCCTCAGACACCTATGGCCCAATTGCTGGACATGGTCTTTCCTGTGTTCAACAATCAGTACCCAGAGGAGAAACCAAAGGCAAAGGCTAAGATTGTACCTGTCACAACTGGCAATGCTTTTAAACCCACCCGGGTCACCTAACCACAGGCTCAGGGGCAACTGAGGAAAGAGTTCTTGTTCCAAGTGCAAGAGGACGGGACACTGGGCACGAGACTTACCAAGCCTCTCCTTGGCCCTGCTCTGAATGTGAGGCACCCAGTGCGCCTGACTCATGGCATTGGAGTTTGACTGTCCCTGCTCCCAGAGAGGGGCTGGGCCAGCCAGAACCCTCATTTCCTGCTCTGATGACTGAAGGGGCCCAGGGGAACCTGCAGTTCCCCTGTCCATGGACATCACCATCTCCTTCCAGGAACCCTGGTAATCTTGGACGTCATGGATGACTCAGTTCAATTATTTCATTCAGTATTGATTTCCTTCTCTGGGCCCTCCTCTGGGTCTATAACTATAGGTGGGGTTGAGAAGGCCCCTAGTTGGAGCTTCTTTACTCCTCTTCTTGTCACTTTGAAGGCCAGATCTTTAACCATGAGTTTCTTTCTTTTTTTTTGGTACCGGGGATTGAACTTGGGACCTTGCGCTTGCAAGGCAGGCGCCGGAACCACTGAGCTAAATCCCCGGCCCAAACCATGAGTTTCTAATTGTCCCTCAGTGTCCCATTCCCTTTCTAGGAAGAGATGTACCAGCAATATTGGGGGCAATTCTCAAATTCTGGCTAAGGCCGAAATGGATTTTACACACAGGTTTCACAGACAGGTTTCTCAAATACGGCCTCTTGCAGCCATGACAATGCCCTTGCATATTCCCATCTCCCTGTAGTAAAGCCCTCAGGAGAATACAGGAGGGAACAAGACTTCTGCCTCATTAACAAGGCTGTCATTCCAATCCATCCTCTAGTGGCAGATCCATATACAATTCTCTCCTAAATTCTGGGGGACACTTATTGGTTCTCAGTCTTAGATTGAAAAGATCCATTTTTCCTATTTCCCTACACCCAGGCTCTCAGTTTCTGTTTGCCTTTGAATATTAAATTCTTATCACAAGAGAAAAGCAGCAAATACTTGGACGGTTCTCCCTCAGAGGTTTTGAGATAGTCCT